TAGAGTGGGCCACCCACTACACACTGAGGTAGAGTGGGCCACCCACTACACACTGGAATAGAGTGGGCCACCCACTACACACTGGGGTAGAGTGGGACACCCACTACACACTGGGGTAGAGTGGGACACCCACTACACACTGGGGTAGAGTGGGACACCCACTACACACTGGGGTAGAGTGGGACACCCACTACAAACTGGAGTAGAGTGGGCCACCCACTACACACTGGGGTAGAGTGGGCCACCCACTACACACTGGAATAGAGTGGGCCACCCACTACACACTGGGGTAGAGTGGGTCACCCACTACACACTGGGGTAGAGTGGGCCACCCACTACACACTGGAGAAGAGTGGGACACCCACTACACACTGGAGTAGAGTGGGCCACCCACTACACACTGGGGTAGAGTGGGTCACCCACTACACACTGGGGTAGAGTGGGCCACCCACTACACACTGGGGTAGAGTGGGCCACCCACTACACACTGGGGTAGAGTGGGTCACCCACTACACACTGGGGTAGAGTGGGCCACCCACTACACACTGGGGTAGAGTGGGCCACCCACTACACACTGGGGTAGAGTGGGTCACCCACTACACACTGGGGTAGAGTGGGACACCCACTACACACTGGAGTAGAGTGGGCCACCCACTACACACTGGGGTAGAGTGGGTCACCCACTACACACTGGAGTAGAGTGGGACACCCACTACACACTGGGGTAGAGTGGGACACCCACTACACACTGGAGTAGAGTGGGACACCCACTACACACTGGGGTAGAGTGGGTCACCCACTACACACTGGGGTAGAGTGGGACACCCACTACACACTGGGGTAGAGTGGGTCACCCACTACACACTGGAGTAGAGTGGGACACCCACTACACACTGGAGTGGAGTGGGTCACCCACTACACACTGGGGTAGAGTGGGACACCCACTACACACTGGAGTAGAGTGGGACACCCACTACACACTGGAGTGGAGTGGGCCACCCACTACACACTGGAGTAGAGTGGGACACCCACTACACACTGGGGTAGAGTGGGACACCCACTACACACTAGGGTAGAGTGGGTCACCCACTACACACTGGGGTAGAGTGGGACACCCACTACACACTGGGGTAGAGTGGGACACCCACTACACACTGGAGTAGAGTGGGTCACCCACTACACACTGGGGTAGAGTGGGTCACCCACTACACACTGGGGTAGAGTGGGCCACCCAGGTGGCACACTCTATTCCAGTGACCCGGGTGCTGCTGCGGGGTCCACTGTCTGCCCTGCCTCCTCCCTCCTTCTCTCTCTCTCCCCCTACTGCCGAGGCCTTCTATACACTACACTATACACTACACTATACACTACATTATACACTACACTATACACTACACTATACACTACTATATAACCTCGTGCCTACTTCAGCAGTTTTTTCTTGCTGTGGTTGTCCCACCTAATGACGATTGCTTGTGTTGCGATCGAAACGTCGTGATCTATTATTTTTCTACCTACGTGACTTTACCGAAAGAACCAAAGAGTATAATGTATAATGTTTATAAACAAATAGGTTTAATGAAATAAAGTAGTTCTCATTACGGGCCCGTGCTTAATTTGTCTTTCGATGATTTGTCTTCGAAAATAATCCGGGCAACGTCTCGCACCCCCAGAAAGGGCGTCTCTCACCCCCTGGGTATGCGTGCACCCACCCCAGGTTAACAACGACTGCTCTATGATATTAGACGAAGCCTCAACCGTGACTGGAGTGTGATGTCACCAAACACTGGTCATGGATGTGAGTGTCCACTCGCTTGAAGCTTTACGAGCAAAGCACTTGGAAATATGAGCACAGCAGTGCATTGAATCTGTGTTGTGGAGTTCCGAGTGTAACGCAGTAGTAATAACGCATCGAATTTCGCAAGAGCAGGGCGTCATATTTTATTGTGTTCATTGTACACAACATGTTTCATGCTTAAAGACAATTCCCCACTAGCTGCTTAAACTAGTGCTCACCAACGGAATAGTCAGGCTCATGCAAGCTCCACCTACTAACACTACGCATTGTTTTTTGGGAAGCTGGAACCCAACCATAGGAATGTGGGATTCCCATAATTGCTCAGGGTTCCAACCTAGTAAAATATGCGATGTTTGGGCTAACGTAGGCATGTGGTTGGAACCGTTGGACTAGCGTCGTATGTTTGCTAACGAATTCTTCGGGGCAATTGTTGAACATCAACTCAACGGAAGCACACCATACACGCGTCTTCAGTTGTTCTGATCTGCATATTCGACTGCAACACACGGTGATCCGTTGACACAGATACCGCACTCAAACAAAAGGGGAGAAAAGTATAAAGTCAACTTTTTTAAAAATTTCAAAGCCTCTACATGTCTCCCACCAATCTCGATGCACTCCTCTATACGACAAAGTACCATCCTTTCCCAATATTCATCACCTGTTATGAAGAAAGAAAATTGATAATTTTAAAAATACGTGGCTTATCTATAAATGCGTCACCCTTTATAAATGCGCGCATTTGTTCAAAACGGTTAGTACTCATACATTGAAGAGCCAGCTGGTGCAGATAGTTCATTTCCTTGCTGCTCATGAGGGCTTTTATTCTGATCATACCAGCTCTTAATTTTTGTTTCGTATTTTTCTTAAAAAAAAAACACACCCTACTGTATATCACACTACAGCAGTGTGATATACAGTAGGGTGCGTAGAATAATACATAGTGTGGTGTATAGTAATACAGTATACAGTATATAATTTAATGTTGGGTTTGTCTATGGCAGTATATAGTACGGTGTAGACCCGTGTGATGTAAGAGAATAAAGTTTAGCTGGAAGCATATTATATTTTTTGCGACATAGAATTGTAATGTATTACTTACTGTTAGTAGCTCAGCTTATTGGAGAGTATATTTAGTATACTGATGATACTATGTAGTTTATACTTTAGTTGTTTACGTGGTGGTTTAGTTACTGCAGCTACATACTATTAACATTCCTTCCCTTTATTAATGTTACCCCTATCCCCTCCCTTTGATGCTGCTAATCCTGCATAATGCACGGGCATAATATGACTTTAAACCCCCGCCAAACCTGCTACGCATTTCACAAGTAGTACTAATCGCATATCTGCATTTCCCATAAATATGCTAACTTCCTCTTGATATGCAAATTATTTTGTCGAGGCGCTCTTCCCCCCTCCATCCCAGCTTAAATAGACGCTCCAAGCCTGGGGTGTGTCATCCAGACTCTGTCTTCTCGACAGACCTGTTCTCCACCTGAGGACGGCTGCTTGCGTAGTGGCCGAAACGTCGTGAGAATTATTTTATTATGTTATATTTTTATTATTTTATTATTTCCCTTCTACGTGACTTTACCGAAAGAACCAAGAAGATGAATCCCTGCAGTCACGAAAGCTTTAAATCGAAATTTTATATATTAGCTGTTCTATTATGGAAGACACGCCTTGTTATCTAAACAGACGTGAGACGGACAAAAGTGGACGATTGAACGACAACCTAGTAATGGAAACGCTTTATGAAGACATGCTTTGCATTCACCATTGTCTTAATCATCAGTCATGTATCCACCGCTGGGTGAATTTCAGCCAACACTCGTGCCATCTTCCGATTTTGTTCATATTTGCTGAGTGTGAAACACAGAACGGTGATGGCACGCGTGAGCAGTCAGGCTCTTTATTTGTAAAAGTTTCACTTTGGCAGGCCTATCCTGTTGAGACGCAGTTTGCATCGAGTCGCTGTATGAATAACAATTGTAAAAAGTGCGCTTTCCAAAGCACGTCACTCTTTTCTTCTTTTCACATCCCATAGGTTGTGGTGCTTTGCGAATGGATGGGGGGGGGGGGGCTTCCTGCTGTTTGGAAGCAGCGCGCATTTTTGTGTTGTATGAACCTGTATGTATCCATAATATATATTTTTGGGGTAGATCGCATAAATATAAACGTGTTGTTAAACCTGCCACCACGAAATACAGCCAATTAGTAAGGTTTGTCACGTAAGCAAAACATGCAAATTTCCCTACACCGGTGTGCTGTACTCGGAACGAATTGCATACCTGTCAACCCATACGGTTTACCTGCATTCTTGTGCAGGGAAATTGAGTTTTCAGGTCCATACGGCATACAGCCGTTTTAATACGGGCAAAAAACCGTTTCTATTCCTTTGTGTTTCTCCCTTGTGATGGGACTTTGTAAGATGGACTTTGAGATTTATTAGGGCACGGCGTGACCAATAAGGTCTGAATTGGTCTGTAATAAGGTAGGGCACTGATAAGGGGTTTACAGGTATGGAATTGGCACGTTTTGTTCACGTGTTTCGTCGGGTGGTGGTGCGTTTAACGACACATTTATATTTTTGCGACCTAACCCATAAACCTCTATTATGGATGACATTGGCCGCGAAAGTCTACGTGTTAAACCAATCTGTATGTATGTTGAACTTTTTTTGCACCGTAAGTAGCCAACGGTGCTCACATCGGAGGTGCCGGGGCAAGGAGAAAATCTAAACACAAAAAAGCAGTCCTAAACGCAAAGGACAACAAACTAAACACAATCTGTTGATTTGAAGCTTTCGTGACTGCAGGGATTCATATTCTTGGTTCTTTCGGTAAAGTCACGTAGAAGGGAAATAATAAAATAATATTAATAATAAACAATAAAAACAAATTCAAATTTTCTTGCTGTGGATTTCACACCTGATGATGATTGCTTGTGTTGCAGTCGAAACGTCGTGAGAATTTTTACTGCTTTATATTTTTATTATTGTATTATTTCCCTTCTACGTGACTTTACCGAAAGAACCAAGAATATAAACACAATCTATTGGTATTCCAGCCTGCACACCGCATCCTCCGGTCGAGATGGAGTTTCTCGTCATCTTACAGAACAGTGGATTTGAATGTTGGGCGTAAAGGTGTTGGATTTGAACGGTGCGTGAGAATGAAAGGAGCGGTCGGAGATGAAATTATTTTTATTTGAATATTTATTTATAAACTGTGCATGGGACAAAGTTACAAGCCATTTTTTTTTTTCAAATCCAACATTTTGCACGAAAAAAAATGTAGCTAGTACACAAACAACTAACCCCAATAAAATGCTCAGGCTAATTAAGGCAATGTTACCCCACATCACGTACCTAATGTTTAAGCTTATGAAACATCGATGCTTATTAATGAACTACTTCACACAACAGTCCACTTGTCAACCGTATTCAGTTACATCGTACAGTACTGTATGTACACGCAAACTTGGCAATCTGCCGGCATTGATGGGAATTCTGGCGAGTGTTAGTAAAACGTCATAATCGCAGAAAAATAATATATATTTTAAAAATGTCGATTAAAAAAAGAACAAGAGGGAAAACAACAACGGCAACATTTCTTTACAATAAAGTCAGTTCTTCACGAAACAATTTGTCAAATACTTTGGCATCAATAAAAAATAAAATATACAAAATAAATTTAGGAATAAACTATGTAACTTTACAATCCAAGCAAGACAACAAAAATTAAATTATACATTACAATATGATAATGACGGGTTCTACTTCACAAATGATAATTGTAAAAAATAAAGAAACGTGTAATAATTTGCGCGACGTTGCATACACCAACAACCGAGAATATTTCAACAAATTAACAAAGTCGACCAGACAGTATCTGCTTTTAAATGCAGCAGTGATTTTGTTGCAGAGCACAGACATGTCCTGCACAAACTAAATCAGAGTGGGACAACAGCTTAAACTAAGTTGTCGCTGTTATTGTTACAGCTCTTTTTCAAAATCTTACTTCATTTCGAACGAATGTGTACCGAGTTCATTAATAGTGGTTTTACGTACCCTATTTAAGTGTAGGCATGGCACTGAAATCGTTGTTGTACCACATATCACTAACATGAATCCTTTAGTTTTTGCCAACATAACTATAAAAAGAACCTGATGACTATAAACAAAAAACATGGTATTGATTCACACACTGCATACACGTGCATTGCTTCACACCGATCTCCATAATTAGTAGTATTGTTCATGTATGTATGTGTGCATATATACATATACACACACGCATATCAATATGGGCCATGTTTTAATATGGGCCATGTATACACATCTCCAGAAATATATAACTGGAGAATGATATGGCCGGCTAGGTCCATACATAAATTTAGAATATAGATACACACAAATAGACTTTCAATGTATGCTCAACCAGACATCATAATTTAACCAAACGGTGATACTACAATTATTGTATGCAGTTTATTTTTCTAACAATTTGGAATTTCTTGGACAAATCAACTACTTAGAATTGTTCTGCCAAGATATAATGGCACAAGCAAGTCATTACAGTGCTGCACCTTTACCAAGGCATTTTGAGAGTTGCCCAACTCAGGTCTGGCGTAACCAATAGCCATCTCTGTATGTATTCATTACCCAAGAGAGTGCACACACGTCCTTGTCGATGTAAGCTGCACGTGAATGCAGTGGTGATCCCTGCCTCTCGCGGCACTACTGGCTTCATACCTGCATACGCAAGAAACTTGCATGCTTTTGATACAGATCATTATACAAACAATTTCCGTGACTCAACCCGGGCATATAGTACACACGCGTATTCGCGGGGCGGCAATCAAGCTATGTTACAATGAAACTTGAAAAATATCAAAATGCTACCGAGTGAGTACAAGACAAACGGAACGCCTGGTCCTTTCACATCCCCTTTGTGCTTTGTTTGCAGTCACACAGGAAGCATTTCTACTTTTTGGGAAATGAGACCCAAAAAAACAAAGCGCAACAGAAACGTCAACCGCGAGAATTTACCGCAAGCAGAAAATTATCGCGCCGCAAGCATGAAATGAGCAAATAGCACGATCTGGAAAAAGCCAAGCGCTAATTCATCACCGCAATCGAGCGACGTTTGGAGTTGCCGATGGAATACAGCTTCAGAATACGGGCGGCGGCGGCTGCAGCGGCAGCTCCGTGTAATTGTGGCTTCACTCCGAGCAGCACGACCACCATTCCTCGATCAGCTACCTCACAATTGGCCAAATATGAATATTTTTATCGAAGGAGAAAAAAAACCTCTTTACATATTTAACCTGTAGAAAGTTTGTTTTGCCTCAGCTGTTAGCAATTCAGAGGGTGGCACTGTGATGCAAAAAATTAAACGGACAATATATCGCATGACTCATTATTCTTTTTGGCTTCTGAAGCGCGATGCTCTCATGCACGTGAGGTTGGGTAGCAGTGTAAGTCGTTTAAATTCTGAAGTTATGGGAAATGACTTTGTATATTAAAGATAGATTTGGCCAGTAAATGTGCATCTCTCATAAAAAACCGAGTAGTTTTTTTATGAAGTAGATTTCAACAATTATAAAGTTGACAAATGGTGCCGCTTTAGTTTTTTTAAGTTGCTGCAGAAATGTTACAAAATGTGGTAATTATTTTCAGAAATGTTTAAACCTTACCCATGAATAAGATTTTTTTGTAACCATGATAAGCCACTTTATTTTCACAGAGCTTAGGCAGGTTTTCATATATTTAATTAGTCCTTTTTCAGATTATAAAAAACAGTGCCAATTTATTTCACGTAATTTTTTGTTCTAAGCTTTTTCTGAAGTATATCAAAGAGGGCAAAATCCAAAGCATGCTTTTCACGCTGGCACTAATATAGTCATCTTTCCCAAAACAGAAATTTGCAAGGGTGTCAAAAACACGTTGGAATTTAATTATGGAATCATGAACTTTTATTCAGAATTATTCAAGCTATTATTATGAGAATGTATTATTAGAATGTGTGAAATCTTCATCAGCCTTGGTCAATCCAACATCATTGTTAAAAAGGACATCAATTAAAAAGTACATCAGTACTACCGTTTTAAAAACGCTGTTGTTTTTGGTCAATGCGCAACAGTAAAATGGAACTGCAAAGTCAACAAAGACGTCTACAGTATTTGTACACAAACCTGTACAAGCAAATATACTGTCAGATGACAGTATATTCATTGCTGTGGCTACAAAACAGACAGCTATTGTGTGGAATGTTTCGTAACAAACGAAGCTGGTGTCTAGAATATCCATATCAGATCATCTGTCTTTGCTTTTACAGAAAGCAGCCCTGTCCCATACTTGGTGGTATTTAGTCCAAGCCTTTGATCACTGACACATTGATAGAGGCCATGATGTGTTCGGGACATTTTAGGGCAATCGTCACAGGCTATTTTAATGTGCTATGTATTTATCATGAGCAACTATGGCATCTTGATATGGCAGTGGCACAGGGTGAATTCTGTCTGGCCATGAAAAAAACATCACTGAAAATTGTATTAAATTAACAATAATTGGTAGTCACATGACGTATGTCTGTGATCTGATTGGTAGCTGGCTTCGCAGTCACCGACTAGGCAGACAGCGGAAATTCAGATTTGTACAACATTTTTCCGCAAAAAGAAAACCAGGATGATTGCCGGAGATGACTGAATTGAGATTGCTCTGGTCAGGGATTAGTATCAGCCGCAGATGTCCGGGAGCTGAGGCTGAGAACCAGAAAAGATTTCCGCCCCCTCCTTCTGCCCCCCCCACCTACCCACACTCTTGACAGTGTGGGGAGGGGAGGGGGTAGGATCTAAGGCAATGGGGGGAGACCCTGAAAAATATTCCACGTGAGATTAAGCCCTGGCCCTAGTGCATCATGACCTGGTGTGTTTGCCCCTGCCAACAACAACTGAGCGCCATGGGTCACGATCCTAAAGGCTCATGCTTTATTCACTGTGGTACTGACAGCTTCACCACTGTGTGGAGGTAACCGGTACAGGCACCGGACAAACACAGTGGGTGCTTCGGCATTCTATTTCATGAGAAACCATGATCTTTAATTTGACGACACACCATTATCTGTCAGCCAAATCAGCTCCAGTTAACTCACAGCCTGAAGTGTGGGGGAAATGTTTTTGGCACGGTGCAAACATTTCTTGTATATTTTCTTCAATTAGTTGGTGTAAAATTAACCAGAAAGATATGTTAATTACCATGGATGAAGAAAGTAACATGCGCACGTGGCTGATTATTGTGTCATAATCGTTATGTCTGTAACAATGCACGGATTCGTTAATTAAAATCGATTGTTACACTCACTGGCACCTACACCGTTGAATCGTGGGCAAGGAAAGTTACCATTTACGCACGCACATTTAGGTTAATGAATGGAAAAAATTAGATATACAACCAAGTAAATGGTAAACACGAGATTAAACAAAACTAAGTAGTCTTGAATCAAACTTAAAAACCGCAAATTGTGATTGTGGCCCATTACAATAGCGGGTTGTTGCTACCACAAGCAGGACTCCACGGTTTGCCGTTCCCGCCTCTCGAGTTGACGATGATATACTGGGGAGGTGTGGCCCATTACGGTGAATAACAGACTCGGCGTGATATAAAATATATAGCGATGTGCCTTTTAGCAACATGGCAAAGGTCACCATCGCTTCCCTGCCCCTGCTCTAGCAGCCGATGCACTCAAGTAAAGCTTCACCTTTGTCAGAACGATAGCCGCAGAGCCAATCGAAAGAGGCCTTTAATGTAACACATTTTTCTTTCTTCAGCTATAATGGAAACACGGTTTTGAGAAAGCAGGGGAGTGGGGGGGGGGGATATTTAATAATATGAATAGTATTAAAATGGGAACAAATGTTCCCATTCATCATACATGGACGTTAAATGATAAAAATGTATTTTAAATTCGTGTAGTGCTCAAGGGGGGATGCTATGAAAAACAACTGGAGCTCTATGCCCCAGGCCTAGGAACGTCTGATATTCAAATGTGTAAAACGCCCAAAACGAGAAGCTCTTGCATTTGACGGATGCCGTGTCAGCAGAGGGTGTAAGATGCGGTGGCTGTGGAGATGAGAACGTCCTCTGAATACCGGATGAACTGACCTCAAGCGACACCCACGGAGAAAAGAAAATATCACTCCCCGCGATCAGCGCACGCGCACACTCGCACGCGCAGCAAATATTCCTCGCGTTGGGGGAATTAGCTACTACTCGTCTATCCAATTTTATTAATTTTAATTAGTCTCCTGCCCAGCCAGTGCCCCCCTCCCCCCCGCCCCCCTCCCATGATCCCCTCGTCCCTTACCCCCACCCCCTCCCGCCCCGTTGCGTTGCCGATCGATTGCGAGCGGCGGCTCCTCAGGCGACCGTGGTGCCGTCCGTCACGGGAGACGTGGCCTCGGATCCGGTCACCTTCTCCTTGCTGCCCCCGTACTGGCCGATGAAGGAGCCGTCCTCGTTAAACTGGCCCTCGACGCCGTCCCCGTACTCCGCCAGGCTGTCCTCGCTCTCGCCGCGCTTCACCTCCCCGTCCAGCGACGGCTGGCTGCCCGCCAGCGGCTTCTCGTCGTTGTCGCTGGAGAGGCGGATGGCGGAACGGGGAGGGCAGGGGGCAGACAGACGGGGTTGCCGAGAGGCAGGGTGAGGTGAGGTGGGGTCGGGTGGTGGGGGATGCGTGGGAAGGTTTCGGATAGGCGGAGAGAGTGTGCGGTAGAAGAGCTCGGGGGGTCAGGGTGAGGTTTGGCAAGAGGAGCGGAGAAGATATTGCAAAGAGGACAGAGATTGGTGGGAGAGATGGACACGGGGACGGGAGAAATAAATGTAATTTCACGTCGAGGGCAAATTCAATTGAGAGATGTACGATAGCCGTCGGTTTTGAGAAAACCATCCGTGTTTTCTCGCAAAAGGTTTCGTACCGCATGGGAATAATTGATCAGGCAGGGGATGAAGGCAAGCTTTGAACGGAAGTTGTTGAGCATTCATAGTCAACAGAGATTGCATGGGAGGATAAATTTGTTCCTGGTCCGAGCTGGTTTAACCCATTTCCTTTGCGAGCTGCTTTATTTCCATTGAAACGTACCTTTCCAGTGTTCTATTTCCCCACGTGTTCGCAAATGGTAAAAACACATTGTGTTATTAGAATAATAATTGCGACACACAGAAATTAAAATACAGGCAGACAATGGCACGATGACTGCACTTGACTCTGCGTCTCATACCTGTATTCACCAAACGTCTCCTCCTTAATTGGTTTAGCTTCGGGATCAACCCGGGCATCCTCCTTATCTTTCACTGCAAAGATAAAGCGATGGGAAAGTGAATTAAACACGCGCGTGTCAAATGAGATGCGCCTCGGTGCACTGAGCGGACATAGCTGAGATTCTGGGTTAAAATTTCAAATTTCAGCCGCCCCTGATCAAATTATGTCCTTAAGTGTAGCCATTTGATGGCCTTAGTCTGGTGACCAATGAATGTGCAAAAGCAAAGCAGTCAAAATTATCCATCTGTGAGAATATACAAGAGACAAATATATACGATTGATTAGTCCAAACGACTAACATATCTCCGTAGCAAAGCACGTGAGAAGCTTCTGCCTTCACGCAAAGCATGTGGATAAACACAGAGGTCACTTGAAGGCATCTCATAAGTAGTTCTGTCATATCTGCTTCCACAGGCCATTCTCCAGCAGCTGGGGGCTCTCTGAGAGCTTCAATGGACATTGTTTCTCATGACAGGCGATGCTCGTACAGCATGCTTGGAATTAAATCGTGGAGAACATCAAAATGCACGCTTGCATGGCGTAGGGTTTCCACCTGTCCCAGTTTTCCCACGATTATCCGAGGGAAATCTGCAAGTCTTCATGGGACACTGACAGTCCCGTATTTGATCGATTGCGTAATAAAATAATAACACACCGCACATGACGATGCATTTCCATTTAGTCATCGACTTTTCTGGCATCGTGATACATTTTTCTTCTCCCGATATGCCCCTTGATTTTTTTTCGTTCTTCACAAGTGGCAACCCTTGTGCAACAAAGCCAATTGCTACCGCTCGACCTCAATAACATCCACGCAGCTCGAGTCGCACTTTCATCCACAGTGCAATCGAAGTGGGGTGTTCGTTGGCCACCCTCACCGGAGTACTTGCCACCCTTGTTCCTTTTGATGAAGCAGATGATCAGGAGGATCATGATGAGCAGGACCACGGCACACATGAGTGCAATGAACCAGGCCTGCGTGGCCACATCGAGAGGCCCTCGCCGGTATCCTGCCAAGGCGACACCGCAGGAGCGTACATCAACAAAGCAGCAGTAGCAGCAGTAGCCGCAGTAGCAGCAGCCAGCAGCAGCCGTAGCCAGCAGCAGCAAGTAGCAGCAGCATCGCCATTTAAAACCATCACCACCGCCGCCATATAAAAAATCGGCATCATCGTCATCAGCAATGATCAATCCACGACTGAATAGAGGCCTACCCAAGCTGTCACCGTCTGTCAGGGTTCTGCCATGTTATAATACACCGAGAACTTGCACACTGCTTTTTGTGTTTAGTTTGTTGTCCTTTCCCCACACCTTCGATGAGCACGGTGGGCTACGTACGGTGCTTCGAGATGGTTCTCCAGGAAAGGTGCTCTGTTAGAATAAATGTATAACTTCACGTATTATAATAATAATTATACTACTACGGTGCGAATAATGCACAGCCCTTTGTCAAGCCCCTGCTGGATGTAGGCCTCCCTACACCACATCCGTTATGGGCAGGAGTCGCAAACCTGCAACTCCAGAGCCGCATGCGACGGCTCTTTAAGGACTGCATCGTGACTCGTTATTTATTAAGGGCCCACCACCGTCTCGTATTCACCACACAGTGCATTGCGGCTCTTGAAATATTGAGTCTTTTTTTTTTTTCACCGAATTTGAAACAAATGGCTCTTCTTGTTGTTTCGGTATTCCGACCCCTGGTCACGCGGATTGTTTGACCATATAATGTTTTATTTTTATTATGTTATTATTTCCCTTCTACGTGACTTTACCGAAAGAACCACGAAGATGAATCCCTGCAGTCACGAAAGCTTTAAATCGAAACGTTTGACCATACTTCACCACGCTGGTTGGTGAAGGGGGATACGGGGCCCAGCACCCGGTATAGCCATCGCCCTCCACCGACGTAAGCCCTTGCCTGGAATCGAACTCAGGTGACCGAGTTCAGCGCGTGAATCGCGCGCGCTACCACCGTCGCACCGTCACCACCGTGTGCAGCGTGGGTTGTACGGTTCACTCTACCTCTGCCGGTGGTCTCAATGACGTCCTCGGAGCTGATGGTGTGCCCGTGCTCGTTGAAGGCCACCAGGCGGATCTGGTACTGGCTGCCCGGGGACAGCCCGTCCAGCAGCAGGTGATTCCTGGACGAACTCACCACCGAGTGGTTGCGCCACCCGCCAGGGCCTGTTCATTCAAACAACGCGCTCATTAAGGACGGGGGATCTGCATGTACAGTGGCTCGTGATGAACTCTTTCCCGATCCGAGACGTCTGCAAGTTGCAGGGTGGGTCCCGTTGACCTCGGAACGCGCAAGTGGTTGGAGTTCACTTTATTCAGAGGGACATTATGCTCACCGCAAAGAACTGTAGCGACACGACTACACTCTATGATAGCTGGCGCCAAGCTGTGCCACACGCCCTCCCACATGGCCTCGTGGGTGCCTCGGTACTGATAAAGTGACTTTAGTTTTTCTTCCGGTTCCGTTATGACGATATACACGTATGCACAGGTACGTCATCAGGGTGGGAAAGCGTTAAATGCCCCAGCAACTCAAAGTGCCTTGACATCCCACCTCAACTCAAAATATCCAGTGCCATGCTGCTGTCGAGTCGAGGGAACTCCCCGTGGCAGCTGTCCTTGTGCGGCACAACGTGTACGCATCACCGGCCTGCAAACGGTTCTTGTTTGACGAGGTGTGAATTTAATTGCATAAGTTAATCCTGTATCAGTTATATATTTCAAATATTCGTATACGAGTCGTTCCGTGTTTTCTCTGTGTGTCAGTTGGCACCCTGGACACCCTTGTAGATTAGATATTCCATCTCAAGGGATTTTCCAGGTAACAAATACTTAAAAATGGGAATTAGTCTGCCGTATACGTATTTCTAAATTAAGTAAACTTGCGAGTCATCAAATTTGACAAATTTGGATCATGATGCCAGCACACATGGCCTACTTCAATGGATTTGAATTATTGTTGCCATTAGGAGAGTGATAATGGGGGACTCACAGTCTAGGGGAAAGCCCATACATGGGGTCCCAGAGGCAGAAGGCAGCAGTGAATATTGATGACCATACTGTACTCATGAGCCTTAATGAGGAATAAATCTGTCTAAAGTTGTCTGTTTCGCCACTGCCTGGTAGGACGGCCACATTATACACTCTTTGAGTTAGTGGTTTAGACCGCAGGGTAGAGAGCATTACACATGCCATGTGGTGGTCGTGTGACATGGATGCAAGGCATGATGGGAGTCGCATCTTGCTGTTGTTTGTGAGTAGCACACTTTATTAAAGCTGTTATTTCCAGTTGTTTTTACTGCTGCTCAATCTACCGAACTTGTATTTTTTTAGTTTTTATTTCATCGTTTGCCTCGGTGTGTTGTTTATGTGTTGAGATGTTTTAATTAGGATTGAAACATTGCATGAACTCAATCTTTTTGTAAATTGTTGGCACACACTCATTACATCAGAGTGCGAGAATGCAAATCCAAGTTAAAACAAATGAAATGCTCACGCGTCTGTGTCTTATTGCGACCGTAACAAGAAGCTTACTTCTGCATGCAGTGACACGTGTCTGTGATCCTGCCATTTGGGGGGCAATGAGTGGTGGGTCGTGCAAGTTTGTCAAACTCTCAAACCCACTGGGATGTGCGGTGGCCAGGAAACAGCAGCGCAGTAAAGGGTTTATTGAAGTCTCTGTCACGACCTTACTCAGTCATTTTTTTTCCCGATAAGACCCAATGAGCTAAGAAGCTATTTTCCAACGGCAACCCGCCCATAGCGGCTGATATACGGTATCAAGGAAGTTATCAGGGAGGGGGAGAGTTGACAAACGGCTGCGTAGAACTAATGCAGGGAAATATTGCGAACGCGACTAATACATGATCATAAATTCTAACAACAACAACCAGAGATAGGTACAATGGAAATCTCGTAAGCAATGCAAAGAAAACATTACGGATGACACAAGTAAGATGACCTCACTAGTATCATTGTTTATTATGGTACCCTATCACATGCCAAATCCTTGTTCATGGATGATGCCAGATATTACAAACGAGGCTCCTCTTGAAAAACAAATATTTGAGACTCTGTGAGAATGTCCTAAACAAATGAAGGGCATTATTAGCACGACGACGATGATTGTTGTTACTATTTTCCTGACGCCGTTCTAAATCAGACAACAATCACCGTATTCTTGGTTCTTTCGGTAAAGTCACGTAGAAGGGAAATAATAAAATAGTAAAAATAAAGCAATAAAATTATCACGACGTTTCGATTGCAACACAAGCAATCATCATCAGGTGTGAAAACCACAGCTGTCCGTGGTGCTGACGTTAAGAAAAAAACGCCAATTTTTTTTCTTGCTGTGGTTTTGACACCTGATGATGATTGCTAGTGTATGAATCGAAACGTCGTGAGAATTTTTTTGCTTTATTTATTTTATTTTATTATTTCCCTTCTACGTGACTTGATCGAAAGAACCAGGAATATGAACACCCTGCAGTCACGAAAGCTTTAAATCGAAAAATAATCACCATGTTTGTCTCGGAACTGGATGAGGTATTCGGACGCGGACTGGCCCACTCCTGGCACCCACGAGATGTTCGCGTACGTGTCGCCACGCGTCGTGTTCATACTCAGCAGTACCGGCGCGGCTGGCGCTGTTAACAAAACAAACACACACACACACACAATATCAAGAGTTACACCAACAACAACAACCAGCTCCACTAATAGTTTCAGAAAAAAAAATTATTCCCATGGCACATGTTGACGAAGTAATTATCCGCTTAATGGTAACACATCCCCAAAGCGCTGCTCATCCTTGGAATAGCAGGAAGCAACCGCAAGCTACAATTTGATCGCTCGGCCACACGAGCGATGGGGAACGACACCCAAGTGCACCTCCCTCCTCCTCCCCCTCTTGTGACCGTGGGTGGCGGCGCGAGGGCTGGGTTGCGTAACCGACAGCTCTTCCCAGAGGTGACTCTCACTGCGGGGGCGTGTGATTGTCAGAGATTCGTTTCATAGGGAGGGAGGCGTCACGCTAATGTCTCTTGCCGAGGGAACGAAACCCACCAAGACCTCCTCCGTGTGAAGAACCTTCCATCTCATCGCGTGCCCTGCCGGCCCCCGAGACGGATGGTGAACGCATCATCATCATTAGTACATTCAAAAAGTCCAAGCGATTAACTGCTGCTTAAATGAGCATTGAGGCAATGCCCATCTTCCGTTTACAGCCTTGAGACAGTGACGGAAATTCCACATTCCTATGGCAAGGGTGAGTCTATGCACAGGACCACCACTGTTGACTTTCCCACAAAGTGTTACCCATTTTAAAAAACCAGCCAGGATTTGAACTCGCAACCTTCCCATTGCGAGTAGCGCGCTCTACTGCTAAGCCACCTGGCCAGACAAATGTCACAACTACACACAGGTGCATTTGCTATTCGTGCCAATCTTGTTGCGTAACGCCATCGCGAAGGCGCCGTTTCACACGGTCGGCAGCGGTATTGCTCCGTGTTATCACAATTGGGTGCTTTTCAGGCGCCGTTTAAAATCCGGGAAAAAATGTGGACCGTGGTGCCGGCACACGTGTCCTACTCTTTGTTTTGAACCACGTCATGACATCTGGTAACGCCCACTGTGGCTAATGCACCCAGAGAATTAACCGGGGCGGCCGCGGGGCTCAAACCGCGTGCCTCTGAAACAAGCGTCGAACGCGCTCGCGCTCCGCTATGCCACCGCCCCCCCTCCCCCCGGTCGTCGTCCCTACTTACGGATTTCCAGAATGGTCACGGCCTCCTCGGTGAGTATTTTCCCGGTGCCGACGCTGGTGAAGGCGGCGATGTAGAACTTGTACTTGGTGTAGGAGTCGAGGGAATCCACCCGCAGCTCGGAGACGTTGGCAAAAAGCTCTTCCCTCTGTAAGGTGCCCAGGTTCTGCGTGTTGTTGACTGTTCACCCCCATGCAATACACATACACACACAACAGCAGCAGAAGCAGGATGAATATTGCTGGGGCGGATATATAAGAGGTACAGCAATCTCTTTTACTTGTGGCTGTAAGTTTGAAAGTGATGAAAGTGATGAATACATGTTAAGTAGCCAAATGGCGCATCATCCAAGAACTCCCTCGTCGAGAAGGGGGTAGCTTTTTTTACTGAACTAACTAACTTTTAATTTTAGCAGGTAAGCCTCATTGAGCAATCTTGCTCTTTTTCAGAAGCGACGTAGCCACAAATGATAGCTGAATGAAGTGGCTTATCACATGGAAATGTATAGCAGCCAAATACTCTAAGCGCGTGTTGATTCTAAATGTGGAGGGAAAAACCGGAGTAAACCGGAGAAAAGCCAACGTGGCCATGGGGAAAGCAGAGCACGCAAACTCCAAATATACAACAGGCATCAGGGTCGGGATCGAACCCATGACATCCTGCATACCAGGCAAGGGCGTTAACATCTTGCCACTGCGGCGTTTCTAGCCACTGTAAGCACTGCTCCACCACTCCACCTCACTATTTTTGCAAACAAAGTCAGAGTTTAAGCACAGGTGTGTGTGTGTGTGTCATTACACAAGTGAGAATCTGCTACGTAGTACATTATATTTTTTTTGTTATAAAGACACAGTGTACTTACTGTTCTGATATTGGACGATGTATCCTGTCAGGATTCCATTGGGATGTGCTGGAGGGTCCCATGCCAGCGTTATGGAATCAAAGTCCTTTTCTGGAACTCTTAGGTTAGTCACCTGGCCCGGCACTAAAACAACATAATGTGGAGGGAAAAGAACAGGGTCAATGTGACCTCTGCCATCACCTTCACCGCTCTCTTGATAGCCATTACCTTCGTACGCACCATTAAGTCCATTTCCATTATCATCAATCATTAAGTCTTCTTCGTCTTCATAATACAAATTCAGTTAATCACCTTCAACATTATGAATATGGTTTGCCAATTATCAGTTGTTAGCACACTCCCTTGATCTGCAAGGCATATCATTAAACATGAAAACTATGAACTTATGAATATGTAAGTTAAAATACTCATGAATATCAGTGTCCTTGAAAAATGTTTGCATATGGGAAAAATAACACGCGTTGGTAAATTATGGGAGGCGTTTGTTTTTACAATAATTAAACATCTTGATTTTTCACTATTAAAAATGTACGTTTCATATGGTCTAAATTTCGATTTAAAGCTTTCGTGACTGCATAGGAGGTGGGCGGGGGGGTTTATTTTGTCTAGGCGCTCTTCTTCCCACCTCCCCCCTCTCCAACCCAGCTTAAATATACGCTCCAAGCTTGGTGGTGTTTCATTCTTCACCTGAGGACGGCTGCTTGCGTTGTGGTCGAAACGTCGTGAGAATTATTTTATTATGTTTTATTTTTATTATTTTATTACTTCCCTTCTACGTGACTTTATCAAATGGTCTAGTTATTCACTCACAAACAGCTATAATTGTATGCAGTACACAACTCCATTGGTAGACTGATTTCTATGAATGGTAAAGGCAGAAAGTTGGCAAAAGAACGATATTCCAATGACCCACAAATGTTTTTATATCCAGGCGCATAAAGAGGAACCATCCAAATTCAATAAATAAGGTCCGGCTGGGTACATTTCTGGGCAAAAAAGCCATGCTGGAAATTGAAACCGCTCTCGACTGCATCACAAAATATGACCTCAAGTACCTACATATATTAAACAAAAATGTTGTCAAAATAAAAAAAAATAAGATCAAATTCCGGATTGAAATTGTGTGAAAATGTGCTTTGTTTACTTTCCAATTTAAAGACTTATGCGGACGATAGGTTTGCGTGTCCGTGTTGAGGTCTCAGTGAACCATGGTCACAGGCCGACTGGGGAAGTCCTCCGAGTGTCTCTGGTCACCGACCCCAACCTCGCCAAACAAAAATACTTACAAAGAACCTCGACTACGGATTCAGCTCCAGCTAAACAGGAACTGAACTACAACACGGGGTTAGGACCGTATCTCATACCTGCCAACCCATACAGTTTACCCATATTTTTGTACAGGAAAATTCAGTTATAAGGTTCATACCACGTACAACCGTTTAAATACGGGCAACAAAATTTTTTTTTATATTTTTTTGTATTTATCTCCTGTGATGGAACTTCATAGGATGATCGTTGAGATTTATAAGGGCACGGGGTGACCAATACGGTCTGAATTGGTCTGTAATAATGTAGGGCACTGATAAGGAGGTTGACAGGTCTGGTGATGGGTGAGACGAGAAAGCCTGGTAAGGTCTGATTCCTCTAAATGGATGCATGGAGGAATTGTCAGAGCGAAGTTCACGGAAATAAGTGACCGTGATAAGGGGTTGACAGGTATGGTATCTTCACACCGGCAGTTGCGTCGCGTCATTGTCCGTCCCACTTAGCCCGATATGCATCGCAAAGCAGCCGTCGGACTCTCTACTGACCAGCGGTCGGGACAAAGCGCACACGACGGGGCAGAAGTTTCGGCGAGTCGCGTCGCCGCACCCACCTCCTTCGGGCATCTCGACGCGCAGAGCGTGGCTGGCGGGGCCATCCCCCTTGCCGTTGAAGGCCTTCACCTCCAGCTCGTAGAGGCTGAACGGCTCGAGCCCCGGCACCACCGCGTGGCTCCGGTCGCCCTGGGAACACGAGCACCCTCCACTCCACGTGGCGCCGCCTCCTCTCCTGCAGGCCCCTCAGCTTGCGGTAGAAAACCTGTGCCAGGCAACAAGCCAGCATTCTCATCCGTATACTTTCTCCGTCTCTATGATTTGTTTCCAAGTGCCCGTTTTTTTGTTTCCCCCCCCGTCCCCCCTGGTTCTCATCCGATCGGTGGATTCGTTCATAATAGAGGTTTTTGGGTGAGATCGCGTAAATATATAAATGTGTCGTTAAACCCGCCACCATCCAAAACACAGCCAACTAGTAAGGGTTGTCACGTAAACAGAAGTGACAATTCGTCACTAGTACAGCACGCCGGTGTGTTGGAGAGCAAAGCCACAACATTTATAATCTGTGTGCAACGTTTCTCCAGTAATTGCAGCTAGCTTCATCAGGCGACAGCCAGATTGTGGGGAAGTCCACCTATTTCGTTCCTTATATAGAGGCGTAGATGTGGTGAGCACGCTTCTGCGCTCTGGGGGGAGGGGGGATTTAACGAGTCAACGTACATTCTGCATGTGCATTAGGCGGATTTGTTTATTGTTTGTGTATTGTTTCTACAGTGGCTATTGCACGTGTCCTTCACGGGCATTCATTTTATGATCCTTGTTTCCCACTCACTTATCTCGTCGAGTTGTGGAATTAAGAAAGTTAAGTGATTTGTAAGTGCGCTTGTTTGATGCATTGAGCACAGGTTCCCCGGTGAGCGAATGCCACAGCGGAGTGCTTGCTGAGTGCGCAACCGATGGGTTAAGCTGTGGAAATACAGGGCCACTTTTTTCCTGGATCGATGGCTTGAAGCCCAGGCACTTTGGGAGGCAGTTCCGGTATTACCTTGTAGCCCTTGAGGTGGCCCCGCACATCATGGACAGGAATGGGGTCCCAAGTGAGCTTCAGGACAGTGCTGTTCACCACCGCAAACTTCACATTCTTTGGGGCACTCTTTGGAACTGAGAAAGAGAATGGCGCAATGAAAGGTATGTAACTGCCACCCACAGATAGATAAGAACAATGCGTGAATAACAACAACGAGGCTAAAGTCAATAGGTTATCACAGCCGCTGCAACTCATGCCACAATATGGCACTTGAATTTTTGCAGTTAGTCAGGTAAACTATTTCTATTTTGGCCAGCCATAGCCCACTAAAACATATATTTTTTTGAGAAGTGACCTGGCCGCAAATGATAGCTCAATGAAGTGCCTTATCACGTGGAAATTTTTTCGGAGCCAAATACTCTAAACGCATGTTTCTAAATGTGGAGGGGAAAACCGGAGGACCCAGATAAAAATCCACACGACCACGGGGAAAACACGCAAACTCCAAATATACAGCAGGTGTCAGGGTTGGGATCGAACCCACGACCTCCTTTATGCCAGGCGACATCGTACACATCTCGTCACCGTGGCGAAATTTTAACTACTTCTGAAAGTTTTTGGTAACGGACAATTTGATCAAGTTTGTCAAGAGGGTAAGTCCTTAACGCCAATACAACTGTATATTAATGTTTGATTAACGTTAGATCAATGCCCTGCCCGCCATCCACCACCCCCTCCTGTCCCTGCCCCACGATTACATGGACAGAACTAATGCATAGATGCTTCAAGCTTAGTTTAAATGCGTGAATAGTGTTCACCAACAATGTGATTCAGAATATGCAAGATTATTTTGATAACTTCGCAGGCCAGTAATTTTCATTAAAGCTGGCACACATTCTTTTACAGTGATGGCAGATGGCTGGTATGAATGTTGGGTATTTTAAACTTTGATCTTGGCAGTGTAGCACCGTGTGTGGCTGGTTGTTTAAACACTACGAATTACGGCGTGCATTATTTTTTCTTGCTGCGTCACTCATGAGGCTGCTGCAAGCCCGTGATGACGGACACCGTCAATGCGCCGAGTATATTGACTGTAATTAGGAGAATTATCGGCGCTAAGCGGTGACATACGCCCATGGCCTCGTGGTAGCGCGTTCGCCGTTTGTTGCAAAGGGGTTCACGTTTCGAATCCAGCGGCCACCCTGATTATTACCGAAGGTGATAATAACCATTATAATCCTATGTGCGTCTGCTTCATAGTGAATGTTAAAGAGCCCCTCATATCAATCGCAAGAGTAGGCCATTGTGTGCTGGTGTTAGGGTCCAAATTTGCAAAAATTCTAACATTTCTCGCAAATTTCCCAATTGTCTGCATCAGCAGCAGGCCATGCTTTCCCACTTGATACGGACGCTTGTGTTGCGCCCGAAACGTCGTGATCTATTTTATTTCCTACCTACGTGACTTTACCGAAAGAACCAAAGAGTATGGATTCCTGCAGTCATGAAAGTTTAAAATCAAGATTATATAGAGCAATCATCGCCCCCTACTGGTAGACTGTCACATGTAACTCGTGCAAATGAGACTATCCTTGGTCTCGTGAATTATCAGCTGGATAAACAACATAAACTTGAAACTGCCAATTTGAAACTCAAGCGCTCATCATCCTCTTACTGTGTGACAGACTGACGGATATAATGCACAAATGATTTCCACCATAGTTGAAAAGCATACAAAAGTTAAAAGCAATTTTTTTAAAGTGGTGGACCCATTGCTGGCTTGAGCATTTCACCCCACTGTGCACTTTGCGATCGGAATTCTCTCGCCTCCTTTTTCTTTTCTCTCTTTCTCTATTTCATCTCTCTTTCCTCCGATTTTCTTTCCTGCCTTAGATAATCACAGCTCACGGTTCAGATGCATTCATCTACACCGGACGCGCCATTCCTTGTGAATCCTTGTTTTTTGTTTGTTTTCGTTTACACACACAAATATTCTTCGTTGAGAAATATAACTTACAAAAAAAAAACAACAACAACACGCAAAGTATCAAAGTGACGTCTCACAATCCTCTCCGGAGTGGCCGACGATGGGCATCGGCTCGGGTCCCTCCCCGAGGTCGTTGATGGCCTGCACCTTCACTTCGTACGGCACGAATGTCGCCGTGTCGTTCACGAGCAGCCGCGACGCGTCGGCGCCAAGCATCGCCTCCTCCCAAGGCTCGCCCGTGCCCTTGCGGCGCCAGTTCACCTTGTAGCGCAGGTTGGGACCATTCCGATCCAGGTGCTTGAGAGGCTTTTCAGAGGGGCGGGGGGGGACACGGCGCAAGGTTCGGGTGACCGTGCGTTAATACGTTGACCCTCTGCCCACATGACTTGCTTACTCGCTAAACTAAAATATATTTTGTTTTACCGGATGAGGCCCACTGAGGTATATAGCTCTTTTATTTTCAGAAGCGACCTTGGCCACAAATGATAGCTCAACGAATTGGCTCACATCGGTGGAAATGTATAGGTGGCCAAATACTCTCAAAGCGTGATGTTGATGCTAAATGTGGAGGGAACAACCGTAGGACCCGGATACAAATACACGCGACCACAGGGAGAGAGACATGCAAACTCAAAATATATCAGGCATCAGGGTCGCGATCGAATCCATGACCAGGCGAGGTAGTTAACATTTTGCCACCGTGGCACCCACATGGAGCCCGCACGCGTGTCACAGGATCACACTTCATTGGTGTTGTCCACATCCATCTACTGTGTTTACAAGCTAAGGGTTTATGCAAATGACTCAGTGGTAGACACTGAATAACTTTACGTGGGTGTTTTCATTTTTACGCAAATACAAATGTATTTAAGGTTTACAGAGAGCATCTGAGTAATGACCACGTGAGCTCTACCTCCCAAGCAATGGCCATGTTGTCCGGTTCAGATCCTTCCCCCGTTACTCCGACGGGTGCTATGTCAGGCACTGAAAGTAAAAAACAAAAGGTGTAATAACAAAGCAGACGTTATTAAACTTCGTAAAATTAACATTTGCACTTCGATCTTTCAATTAAACAAGCACTCCATGGTAACCAACGCAATGCCTACTCCTCGTGCCCTGTCACACCACGCTCAACAAATTAACCACACGGCATTCACGCGGCAAACTGCACGTCTGCATCTCACAAGGCAGCGCTCATTTTGAGAATTCCTTCGGCAACGCAGATCGCAAATCTGTTGCTGCGTTCCTTGCACCAACGCGTCTATGAACATATAAAGTTGCATTTAAAACACGTTTACAGTAAGCACAAATATGTATACACATCAGAATGAATGTTGCACCATTAGCACTATATTAAGGTTACAGTTTAAAGGGTATATCAAGATATTCAGGAGATGGCATATGCAAAAGGTTAAACAGTGGTGAGCTACCCTCAGGGCATGCGCACACAGCATTCCCCAGTGATTGAACAAGACATTTCAATACAGCCTTGTCAACCTAGGCGGACATACCAATATGTTCCGGGAACCAATGTGGACACACGGCAAACTGTGTGCTTAAATACGTCGCGCCGATAGGCCCCGTTAACCAGGACGGACGCGGCAATATGCGCGATTGAGAGGAACAACGTCCGTGCGCCCGATCGGCAGAGGCAGGTACGACACATCCCTCGAGAGCAATCGAAGAGACCAGCAGCAATGCGTCCCGGTAACTGATGCAGACACGCGGTGCCAATTCCCCACCCCCCCTACCCCCCAGCTATTGGGATAACGGGGGCTGATAATGCGCGAGCGATTAGAACGCGACAACGACCGAATCGCGCGACAAGACGAGACCGATCCTGTCGGATGTTGGAAAGTCAAGCGGGGGGGGGGGGTGCTTGGATGGGCGACCACCGCCGCGTGTCAGGCTGTCAGAGGCAGCTGGGGGAGCCTGCAGGATGCGTCGTGGTCAGCGGAGGGCAGTGCACGGCAACTCGCAGTCAATCTGCGCTTCTGCGCTCCCTCGTCTGTGCTGCCTAACCTCGCAGAATCGCGCTGACCAGCGTGCGTAAAGTGCGGTCGAATAGCCCCTTTCTTCCAAATTTGCAGTTTTTATAAATTACTCGCGAATTACTTAATTGGCAAAACCCACGTAGCAACTTCGCCCCCTACTGGCAGTCTAATGCCCTTTAGGTGGCCAGCGCTGCGCTGCGTAGACCTTGTACCGTACAGGGACAGCTGCTGCTGGGGATCCCCTTGGCTAAACTGCAGGAGGACTACGAAATGGATGAGGCGTGACAGAGGACGCTTTGAGTTGCCGAGTCATCTCAGCCAGGGCCACGACTAAACTAAAACTAAACTATTTTTTATTTTACCAGATGATTGCTTGTGTTGCAATCGAAACGTCGTGAGAATTTTATTGTTTTATTTTTATTATTTTATTATTTTCCTTCTATGTGACTTTACCGAAAGAACCAAAAATATAAAACTAAACTATTTTTATTTTACCAGATAAGGCCCACTGTTTCAGAAGCGACCTGGCCACAAATAATAGCTCAGCGAAGTGGCTTATCACGTGAAAATGTATCGCAGACAAATACTCTAGACGCACGTTTCTAAATGTGGAGAGAAAAACCGGAGGATCACGAGGAAAAGGTATGCAGCCACGGGGAGAGAGACACGCAAACTCCAAATAGACAGCAGGCGTCACGGTTAGGATCGAACCCCACGACCTCCTGTATACCAAGCGAGGTAGTTAACATCACGCCACCGCAGCACCCACACCCCTCACCCAATACCAGACGGAGACGCCGGCTCCACGACTCATCCGACCGAGCCGCCCGGCAGAATCCTTACCGGCCGGCGGCGTGGAGAAGCGCTGGGACGAGAGGCTGGCCCTGCTGGGCCCCACCTCGTTGTAGGCGATCACTTGGAACTGGTAGTTGACGTAGGGGCGCAGCATGAGCTCTGCTGATGTTTCGGAGCCCTTGATATTCGCCAGGTGCTGCCATTCACCCTGGTTTGTAGCGGTCCTCCTCGTACTCCACGACATACTCTGCAGGGGGCGGCCGCGCGAGTGACGTTGAACACGATTCGACGCGTCGGCGCAAGGCAACAGCAAAACCGAGCAAGTGCATAAGGCCCCAAGAAGCTCAAGGCCCTTCTCCCCCATCAGATGTCATTGTAAGTTCTAATCTGAATTAACATGACACGAGAATTTAAACGTATTACAAATGATCTCACATCTCTATCTCATTCTGTAATCTCGCGACATCTCTATCACTCATTTAAATATCTTCTGTCATCTCACGAGATCTCTATTTCTTGCCTTACATTTACTTTGCCATCTAACTAGGATTGCATAGATTGAAAAGAAAGGGAAGGGGCAAATACAATTTTTGCTTCGGGCCCCGAATGGGATAGCACCGTCCGCTGGCGACACGGTACAATTCAGTGGGATGTTTAATTCAGCTCAAAGTGTCTCCACACTCAAGCAAACATTTGATGGAAATCTTTTCCATGGGCAACTCAGAACCAGTGCTGATCATTGTTAGGCATGTAATTATTCGACAAATTGTCATGCTTACCACGATTTAATTAATAAAGAAGTTGTGTTCATTGTTAAATTGTAGTAAAGATACTACCTATAGTAGATGCAAGAGTTACTTGAACCCATCAGATATATAATTTAGACAAATTATAAATAATCGGCCCTTACACAGAATTGATTGTAAGATATTTTTACGTTACCTTTTTCATCCACACACTTGAAAGATGCATTTTCCCACGTGGCCTGCTATCAGAGACAGGTGTGTTGTATGATGCTCTTACATTTCTAATTCTCAGAGATAGAATTCATCCAAATTTAGTGACTAACCCAACCGAATGTCAGAGGTTTTTGTGCGGTGATTGGGGACCAGGTAAACCCCCTACACTTGAAAACCAAGTTTAATCACAGATGGCAGAAACCCATATTTGAACCTAATACGCCAATGGTGCTGGCTCAGTGTTCTAACTCTAGAGAGACCCAGCTAACTCCACAATGTGCCTACTCTTAAACTACGTGTGTGTGTGTCTTTGTGTCATATCAGGTGCTCGCTAACAACACTTTCCACGACAGTCTGTTAAGTGTATACGGAGGATCTTTGTCTTTGTTTGTGTAATCTCAGTCAGTCAATCCATGGCACCTAGGTCTGTCCCGTGACCTCCTGCCAGCCAGCCTTCGACACTTCACGTGGCCTTAAAGTGCACATAGCATGGCACAAGCGCCATGGTGACGTCACCGGCAGGCGAATGGCGGTTGTTGTTGTTGTTGTTGTTGGGCTGGAGACACTGGTTACCCTGGGTGTGCAGTGTGTGTGTCGTTGTCTTTGTGTGGTTATTGAAGAGTTTCACCTGAAATGGGGCTGTTATAGTGGTTCCCTGGAGTCCAGCTCAATCGGACGCCTCTCTCCTCATGGTGGGAGAGCTTCAGGTTGTGTGGGGGGTCTGGCTTGTCTGATCACACGCAGAGAAAATCACAGCAAAACAATCACAATACAGCTCGGGTGCGGAGAGCGTCCAAGTGCGACCGCATCTCTTGATGCTGTACAGAAACGGTGGACGGATATTTTTTTTGTAGATAGAGAATGTGGCAGTCGGTCATAGGCAGAGGAGAAGAGGAAATTACTGAGCCTGGACTTGAATGTGGGTAGGGGTTTTCAGCATGGGTGGCTGGCAGAAAGTAATTTACAAAGACACGAGAGAAATTTGAACTGTTTATTTAATGCTCTACCCTTCATAGATGTTATGGATTACATATTGATTGTGATATTTTATTATTAATAAAGTTGGCTGGATGAGAATTATGATAATTTAAAATATCCCATAAATATATGAAGAGTTGTTTTATGATCATTCGAGTACCTTGCCAATCCACTGCTGGATGAAGGCATCCCTATACAAAGTGGCAGTCATGGAGAATACTTTCCCATACTTCACCATGCTGGTCAGTGCGCGTTCGTGAAGAGTGGGTACCCAGAATCGATTCAAATATCACTGATCACCAATGTTAGCCGTTGCTAGGAAACAAATGCAGGTCACTAGGTTCATGGGAGGGTGCACTAAACAACTGCAGAACCACTCCCCCGAGATTTTACTCCTCAATAAATATTTCACGACAGCAAATGTGCATTTCGTAGAAGTTCAATATTCTATTCTTGCGCATGACGGCAATATGTTCGGGAGCTAAATGCCAATATCGTGGTCTACTAGCCACGAGAGGGCTTCCGCAGAGAGTTTGTGTAGTTGTGGTGTTCCTCCTCAGTTGAAGGAACGCAGATTGCCGTGGTTTATTACGGGGTTCGGGGCAATTAAGTAAGATGGTAATTGCTTTGGGATGCATACGCTTATTTATGAATTTTTCCTACAACACAGTGAAGGACGCAGACTTTGCAGGGCATGGTCATATTCCCTGTGCAATGGGTGGGAGTTGATAATTGTTTTTTTTACCCTTCTATCTGGCAACAAAACTGACACCTTTTTTAACAAGGAGTCATGTTTGCATAGACCACAATACCTGCAGTCATAATGCAAACAAAACACATAACTCTGATAATGTATGCACTGTCCTTGAAGTTGATTGGTCCACACCCGAGACAGCTTTCCTTAGAGCCTCGTCTCACATGGTGTTGGACCAGATGACGCCAAAAGGCGCACAACTCAAAGACAATGCACCATCAGAGTATGAGAGCTCGGGGTAAGCATTTACACTATTGGAACCTCATTTGCCAGTAAAAAATATGATAATTGTTTTTTTTTACCCTTCTATCTGGCAACAAAACTGACACCTTTTTTTTACAAGGAGTCATGTTTGAAGGGTAAAAAAAACAATTATCATATTTTTTACTGGCAAATGAGGTTCCAAGGGTGGGAGTTGAGTTAAATGATAATTATTTAATTTTAGATGACGTCATTCGTGCAATTGCAACCCACAACGCTGCACGTCAATTAGACAGTCCCTTGCACAGATGGTGCAAAAACAAAACCCCACTACTTAGCAGATCAAAAACTGAAAGATGAATATGTAAATAACGAAAGAATAAATATATACGTAACAAGAAAATAATCATCACGGAGAAAATCAATAATAATAAATCCGTTCAGTCTCTAAACCCCAAGACCACAATCCCAAAATGTCGTCGGATTTACATATATATTTTTTTTGCAATTGGGACCTGCACGATCATTACATGATCATCATCGATTTTTCATAATACAGCAGAACCCCTCTTAACGATGGCAATGGGTTCCACTAAACCGGTTCTTAAGTGATTTGGTCATTAAGTGAGTGTAGGAAATACGGAACATGTCAAAGGGTTAATTTCTTCCAATAGCACCAAAAGTTGCCCTTGTTCACCCAGAAACGTACTTTATAATATTTAAGCAATGGGTATTAATACAAAAAGATACTAACAACATTATAAGCACATCATATTAAAAGAAAAATGGTTAACCAATGCATTAATTAATATTTATCGTACCTACAACAGCCTGTCGTGAACAGGGAAATGGTCAGTAAGTGAGCACATTGGGCTCCATGGAGGCACTACACTATTATGCACTATACAAAACTATTTACTACACTACTGTATTATGGACCAATTATTAAACCTAACCCCAAACAATAGCCTCTAAATAAAAACCCTAATGGTAACCCCTTAACTCCAACCTCTAACCTATAACCCTAAAATCTAACCCATAACCCTAAAATCTAACCCATAACTCTAACTCACAAATTTAACCCCTAACAATAGCCTCTAAATATAACTCCTAACCTCTCAGAGTAACCCTTAACTCTGACCTGTAACCCACGACCCTCACACCTAACAGTGAACTTTAACCCCTCACCCATAACCCTAACACCCAACCTCTAACTCTAACCCCTAACCCATAACCCTAACACCTAACCCATAACCCTAACACCCAACCTCTAACTCTAACCCCTAACCCATAACCCTAATACCTAACCTCTAACTCTAACCCCTAACCCCTAAGGGTTACGAAGCGATGCTCGTCTCCACCGGCACTCAGTGGGCCCTCTCTCGTAGGGGGAGGCAAAGCGCGATGGCCCTCCTGGCCCGCGTACCGATGACTGGTGAGCTCGGCCTCTGCCCGCGCGAGGTCCAGGAACGTGTGGGCAACGCAAATGTAGGTGCCCTGGTCCACCTCGCTCACGTTGTTGATCGTCAGCGTGTTCTTGTCCGTCATGAACCTGCACGTTGGGAGGAAGACGGCGACGCTTGTTTATGTCGACACGCAGGCCCAACAACGGAATGATCTGCATCCAGTCAGGTGGCACTGCACTTGACATGTACAATGCGCAGTAAGAATGTTGCAAGGTGCATTTTGCGGCCAGGGTTCAACTCACCCCGTTATCCCACTGGAATACAATATATGACCCCTACTTCAGAGGAAGTTAAACAAGTTATTTCAATGTGAATATACTTGTCTCTGCCATAGCAATGTGGAATTTCCAACACTGCCTCAGGGCCGGAAATGGTAATTCAACTGCGCACTGATTTATCAGTTTAATCTGATTCGTACAGTTGTAAGAATGCATTGAATCATGCGAGTGCGAATCAAATGTTTACGGTTTATGCCAATTGAATGAAAATTATGTGTTAGTGTTACATTTTGCTGAATGCAAGGAACAAAACTGGACAGATAAGAGAAAAGATAGAAACAATTAAAATTAGCCGGGAGAACCAAGACAAAATAAACAATCAATTCCTGAACTGGATTGCAACATTTCATTGACTCACAGTGGGGACAGATTGTTGCATGCTTAGTCAACAGCTGGATTGTCTCCCATCTACTCAATAGTCAAGGTAGAATATGATTAAGTGCTCCTGACTACTTAGTCCATGGGTCAGAGCATAAATTGGTACCACCTAAGGTAACAAAACAGCGTTTGCACTACCAATGTATTTATATGGCTAATAAGAGATAATCAATATGATTATCCATTCATTTAAATTGTTAGAACATAATTCACTGCGAATGGCCACATTCACGAATTGGAGCCACCAAAGTTATGCCACTTCAGGTCACTGGGCTCATGGAGCAACTGTGCACATCGACACAAGGGTGGGACTGTTAGAGCCCCCAGCCCTTCCCTGCCAACGTTCAGTCAGCCTACATCGGGCAAGGCCCACCGAGCGATGAAGCTCTCTTCATCGCACGGGCCACACTGGCTGACACGGTCCAGGCGCGTGTCCCCTCGTTGCCTCTCACCAGTTGGTGCCGCTGAGCTCCATGCCGTCCTTCTCCCAGTAGATGTTGAGCTCCAGGTCGGGGTCGTGCGTCACCCGGCACTCGAGCTCCACCGTGCCATCCTTGCGCACGCGCAGATGCTCAAACGGCTCGATGTGGGTGGCGTCTGGAACGAGCATCGACGCGGCTTCAATAAACTAAGAATGTTTAAATTTTGATTTAAAGCTTTCGTGACCGCAGGGATTCATCTTCTTGGTTCTTTCGGTAAAGTCACGTATTTTAGTTTTTTTTACGTGGTGGTTTAGTTGCTGCAGCTCCATACTATTAACATTCTTTCCCTTAATAATGCTAACCCTACTCCCTCCCTTTGATGCTGCTAATCCTGCATAATGCACGGGCATAAGATGACTTTGAAACCCCCCGCCCACCTCCTACGCATTCCACAAGTAGTGACTAATCCCATATCTGCATTTCCCATAAATATGCTAAATTCCTCTTGATATGCAAATTCTTTTGTCAAGGTGCTCTTCCCCCTCCAACCCAGCTTAAATATACGCTGCCAAGCTTGGTGGTGTTCATTCAGATGCTGTCTTTCCGACAGACCTGTTCTTTACCTGAGGACGGCTGCTTGCGGTGTGGCCGAAACGTCGTGAGAATTATTTTATTATGTTTTATTTTTATTATTTTATTATTTCCCTTCTACGTGACTTTACCGAAAGAACCAAGAAAATAAGAATGTTTAATTTTACGTTTTGTTTTTTTAACCAGGTAAGGCCCACTGAGCTATATAGATTATTTTTTCTTTCAGAAGCAACTGGGCCACAAATGATAGCTCAACGAATTGGCTTATCACGGTGGAAATATATAGCAGCCAAATACTATCAAGGCACATTGATTCTAAATGTGGAGGGAAAAAGCGGAAGACCTGGAGAAAAATCCATGTGACCACGGGGAGAGAGACATGCAAAGTCGAAATATACATGAGTCAAAAGTCGGGATCGAACCCACGACCTCCTGCATACCAGACGAGGTAGTTACTATCTCGCCACTGCAGCGTCCCAAATGTATACTTTTCCAATATATTATGACCGTGTTAAACTTTAAAAAGGGTAAGATGAATGTGCAGCCCTTGCTTATACAACTGCTGCAGAAGGACCTCCATGGGGGGGAGGTGAGGGTGGGGATTTAATGAACTTGCCCCAGGCATCAGGGTAGGGATCGAACTGCATGACCTACTGCATACCAGGCGAGGTAGTTAACATCTCGCAACCGTGGCACCCCAATTGTGATGTTTCACCAGCCTGACAGCGTTTTCTTTCCCACAGCCAGGCATGGCCTTCACATAATTAGAATAATTCTAGATTTGAAGCTTCCGTGACTGCAAGGATTCATACTCTTAGGTTTTATCGGTAAAGTCACGTAGGTAACCTACGTGACTTTACCGAAAAAACCTACGAGTATAATGAGAATAATTAACAGCTGTTTGTAAAATCCACTGCTGGATCAAGGCGTCTCCACGCCACGCCAATCAGGGGGGTTTGAATGAGTCAGAAATTCTGCCATTGGCCCCCCGTCGTCGGCTCGGGTTAGTCCCAACTTCGTTGATTTTTCTCTTCTGTGGAGACCAAGCAGCTAAATAACACCTTGGTGTTCAAACCACTCGCAAGCTTTGACAAAGTTGTAACGTATATTATTGACCGGCTTTTATGGGAATTAAGAGGAAACTTTCTGCCACTAATTAAACTTACCACTGAATTATTGGGGTGACTTTGGCATGAGTATCGCATCTTGTCATGACGATCCCAATTCCTACACCAAACTTCGTACACTGGACAGATTTTATAACCTCTCTGTGGAAGCCAAAACTTTTTTTAAACCGATGGAGTTGGTATCCGCCTGCATCTACTATAAAAGCCCGGGGTTCCGTTTGTCCGTTAGTCTGTCAACTATATTATGAGAGCCTTTCAGAAGGCCTGAATCAAAACGTTTTAGAAGGTGGACCCCGCCCATCCCCCCCCAGGAATGGGGGTAAAAAGTTGATCCAACAGGTTTCTAAAAAAATACATTTCTTTTGTAGCCACATATGCCTACACACCCTACATACAACAGAGTCAGTGATATCTGCACACATTTTGGGGGGGGGGAAGAAGAGGACATCAGTGGGGGCGACGAGTGAGTCGCGCAGGGCCGAGAAGCCCTCCACAGGAGCTAGAATTTCTCGTCTGATAAAATCCCTCCGTTAGGAAAGGAAATAGCAGAACTACGTGGCGCATTGACCTCTATTATGGATAATATTGGTCGCGAAAGCCTACGTGTCAAACTCACTTTGTATCATATTCTTAGGTTTTTTTCGGTAAAGTCACGTAGGTAAAACATCAAAATTAATGAAAATAAAATAAAATAAAACAAAAAATCACGACGTTTCGGAGGCAACACAAGTCTCCGTCATCAGGTGGGACCGTCACAGCCGAATTAGTTGCATCAAGTGAGGCAATGATTCAAGATGTAATCCCTTATAAGCAAGTTGAAGGGGGGGGAGGAGAGGGGGGGGGAGCTCATCAGAATGTGGTAGCCAATGAATGGAAACGTATCGGGAGGGAGGGGGGCGGGGCTCAAAGACAGCACGGAGTGCTCAACACATGGGGCAGAGAGGGGGAGGGGAGGCCTGATACACATGATAGACAAAAGAACGAAAATGCCCCTGTTTATACCAATGCTGGCTGAACAATGAAGAGAGTACTGTTAAAAAATAACTGGGGATGTTAACACTCGGTAAAGTAAAGTAAAATAGTGCCTGTCAGATAAGATGGTCCAAAAAAGTGTAATAAACAGGGGCATTTTCGTTCTTTTGTCTATCATGTGTATCAGGCCTCCCCTCCCCCTCTCTGCCCCATGTGTTGAGCACTCCGTGCTGTCTTTGAGCCCCGCCCCCCTCCCTCCCGATACGTTTCCATTCATTGGCTACCACATTCTGATGAGCTCCCCCCCCCTCTCCTCCCCCCTTCAACTTGCTTATAAGGGATTACATCTTGAATCATTGCCTCACTTGATGCAGCTAATTCGGCTGTGACGGTCCCACCTGATGACGGAGACTTGTGTTGCCTCCGAAACGTCGTTATTTTTTGTTTTATTTTATTTTATTTTCATTAATTTTGATGTTTTACCTACGTGACTTTACCAAAAAAACCTAAGAATATGAATCCTTGCAGTCACAAAAGCTTCAAATCTAGAATCACTTTGTATCATATTCTTGGCTCTTTCGGTAAAGTCACGTAAATAGCAAAACAAACAAAAATGAAAATAAAATAATAAAATTTAATTAAAATAAGAAACAAATAATAAATTGAAAATAATAAAAGCAAAAAAAACCCACGACGTTTCGATCGCAACACAAGCGGTCTTCATCAGGCCAATCGTTGTGTGCGTTCTTTTCACGTGAACAATTTTCTGGAAAACCCTGAGATATACATATAAACGTGTGTACAGTGTAAATATATAGTAAAGATAATCGCCACGTGCAGCTGCTAGTGCTGCGTCGTTGCTATAGAATGTGGTCAGCAGCTGTGTAGGTGGAATCAAGATTAAAATGAGGACGCACCCATACCCTGTCCCCGATTGGCAGGTAACCAGGTGCTCTCCTCCGTTTACAAACTACGAGGGTGCAGTGACTCACTGAGGTCAATCGCACGTTTTGTTACATGCTGTCTCGCCCTCCCGTTGGTGTCCCCAATGTGTCCGTGGCTCTTGAAAAAAAAACTACCAAAAAATGCTTTATATATATTTTTAAAAACTACAAAAAAATGCTTTATATATATTCTTAGGTTTGTTCGGTAAAGTCACGTAGGTAAAACATTAAAATTAATAAAAGTAAAATAAAATAAAAATCACGACGTTTCGGAGGCAACACAAGCTTCCGTCTTCAGGTGGAACCGTCACAGCCACGACAGCTGTATCAAGTAAATGAGAGATTGCAGGAGCCACCACTCCGTTATATAATGGTTGGAGAGGGGGGAAGGGCCAAGTACAGGCACACTTTTTATTCATATGGTAAGGTGAGGCTTAAGAGGCTGAGCCTTTGTTATGGAGAGGTACGGTTTGTTATATATATAATAAAAAATAAAAAAATGCTTTATATATATTTAAAAAAACTACAAAAAAATGCTTTATATATATTTTTAAAAACTACAAAAAAATGCTTTATATATATTTTAAAAAAAACTACAAAAAAATGCTTTATATATATTTTTTTTATAAATTTACGCACCTCTGACTCGGAGTTTCGCATTGATGGTGCCGGTGTCCAGGTCGTTTGTGGCCTCACACATGTAGAGGCCCTGGTCTGCCTTCTTCGCCTCGTGTATGTACAGGGAGCCGTTCTCAAACTCCTTGAATTTCTTGTCCTGCAGAGTGTTAACCTCACCATCTTTGGTCCTGAAATGATGACCAGAGGGGGTGCATGCATTGTATATAATCGGTTTCTGTCAAACACACTTTTTTTTTCACAGTCATATTTGCAATTCTGCTCAACAGCATTATGCATATATATCATATAGTAAACCACTATAGTCTGAACCCCTTAAACGGAGGAGGAATAACAAGACTGCATGAACTCTCTCCTGAAGCCCTGTCGTGGTTCACAGACATTTACATTGGCATTTCGCTCCTCAAAATATTGCCATTATACGGAAGAATAGAATAGCATCCGGTGTGAGACGAAGCCTAAATTCCAACTCTTGCAAAATATTCCTTTGTTAAAGAATTGCCCTTGGAAGGTAATATTACAGAACCACTTCTGAGATGCCTTCAGGTGACCTTTTATGTTCACACACTTGGGGGCAGGTGAGAGGTGCACCTTTTCAACAAGCCCTACTCTATGATTCCAAGAACACAGGATGAGATATTACTATCCTTTGTGCAAGCACTTCCAAGAGTTCATGAACAGTGAGCCTGGTGAAATTTGGGGAGCACATCGTCAGTAGTGTACCTTTGGTTCCTAGGGTGTTTCGGCCTTTCACACTATACACCCTCCCCAAAGGTGGCCAGCGACAGGGTGATCAATCCTACGCTTGCGTCCCATGCCCAATTAGTCATAGGAGTTGCCTTGTTGTTGATAGCCAACATCCCATGGGACTATGCATGGCAGGGGCGTCCTCCTCCCTGAGTCAAGCATTGTTGACCGCATACCTCCTGGCCCTCTCACTTCGGGGCCCAGCTGGGGTCTTTCCTCTTCATCCAAATCACCCGAATTTCATTCGAATAATGCTCGTCAGCATCAAGTCATGAGATGAAAAAAATGCCCTTCCGGAGTTCTCACAAGGCAGACTAGCCGCCCGCTGCTGGAGCATGACCTCTGCAAGGAAGCGCTACGAAACTGTGTCTCTTATATTCTTTACGCGTGCCGTAACGTAGAAATCTTCATCGCACGGGAGTCAAACTGGTTTTATAAAAAATGTTTTATGCTGTTCACTAAATTCAAATGTCCTGAATGTTACTGTAAAAATAACAAACCGATGTAATATAATCGTGGTGAGTGATCCACTTCTTACAAATCAGACTATCCCTGGCATCACAAGTTCTCGCGGCGGTTGAACAAAATAAACTTTTATTCCTGGTTTATGTCTCCAAATTTTGGAAAACCCTCTTGTCAATTTGGCCGATTTTATTTCGGCACGAGTCCCTAATAGCAACGCAACATTACACCACAGCCTCCTTCAGATCGGATAACATTTGTGAGAGTTACAGTTCCCGCCGGTTACAGACAGCCACATAGGGAGGATACATGCATTGAGGCTTTCAGTCATAGTGGGAGAGCATTAACATAGTATGTTGGCTGATGATGAGAAACGATCAGCGCTCTTACCATCGGATGGCGGGTTTTGGAGAACCGAAGACTTTGCAATCGAGAAGCACAGGCTGTTTCTCTACGACAACGTACTCCTCCTTATCCTTCGTAATAAACTTGGGAGGCACAGCTGAGGACAGGATAAAGATGCTGCATTACACAATTGCAGTTCACGCTCTCATGTTATACAGGGTGCGCCAAAGGTCTGGGACCATGAGCGATTTCACGATCGCGCTGGTCAGTGTCCTCTGATGGGACGTCCACCCAATAGGAACGGAGCGACGGAGCGATCAAATCGGCTCGTGCAGACATGCTGCATGGATTATCGCATCACGGGATCGTGAGAGTTCACCATGGTTTTGGCCTCAATAAAGCAGTGGATAGACCATGGCTTACGATTAAGGATAAATAAAAAATACGAGTGGAGTGTGCCGAGATCGAATTTGGACACGTTGAGGCACGTATAAGCGTCCTGCTGTGCACGAGATTGAGACGCGTGTCCAGGAGAATGGTTTTGCCCGTGCGAGCGTCTGATATCATTTACTTTCCAGATGCATGCTTCTGGACTTTTGCTGCCCCCGGTTGTAGAAGTCAAGGTGTCTGCACACACAGGCCATGGGTCAGTGCTCAACTCCATTACAGTCTTGAGCCGAAGGAGGAAATTCCACAAGACAGCAGTGAGTCTCCCTTACGAGATGACCACTGTTGACTTCCCACAATGTGATTCTTATTCTATAGATTCTGGAAGGCATGATAATGGGTTGAATCGATCTGCCCAAAGTGGAAATTTACCCATTGACCGATGCAGATAGATGGATGTATATTGAAATGTTTCACACAGTACAATACATCAATTGATATTTACACTCATAATAATTGCATCTCATCGTGTGTGCAAACATCAATTATTTTTAATTTGCATACGTGATGGATGGTATGTAATGGGTTCAACATAATTTATCTGCAGCGTAGCAGATAAACTATGACCATCGAAGGTGCGAGGGAAGGACAACAAACTAAACGCAAAAAACATTTCGAGATTTAAAAGTGCATAACTCCAGTGGCTTCCTAATATGGTCGCAGAAGCTCATCTGTAAGTGCGCGATGCAGTGACCGTCTTTGTTCGATGGTTAGCCAAAAGCTGCTGTGAGGATGACCGGAGTTTGCGTGGTGGTTTATGCTCCTTGACGAGATAGGCAAGGTATTGCGATTCTTTTGTGGCAAGCACCACTTTGTGTGCAATGGTGTTTCACAAAAATGTTCAAACAAATATAATTTGTATTCTTGGGTTTTTTCGGTAGTCACGTAGGTAAAAAATTTAAAATAAAATTAATAAAAGTAAAATAAAAATCACGACGTTTCGGAGGCAATACAAGCTTCCATCCGAAACGTCGTGATTTTTATTTTACTTTTATTAATTTTAGTTGAAATTTTTAATCTACGTGACTTTACCGAAAAAACCCAAGAATATGAATCCTCGTCTTGGTTCTTTCGGTAAAGTCACGAAAGAACCAAGACGATGAATCCCTGCAGTCACGAAAGCTTTAAATCGAAATATGAATCCTTGCAGTCACGAAAGCTTCAAATCTAGAAATATAATTTGATTCTTGAATTGAATCGTGACCCTGAATCGTGACAATTCACCGAGTCGCGAGGGCAGTGAATGCGTCAACTCACGACTACGACCCAATCCAATGTTGAGCATTAATAACACAGCAACACCTCTGCTAAATGACATGCTAAGACACGACGTGCGATCAATGTTGCATTCAACTCTCAATGATCGTTATTATTATTAATCATTTTTATAATAATAATTTTCACTTATCACATAGAGGTCGCAAGGCTAATCATGCAGCGGACTACAGATGCTTTTGAAGCGGTTTCAGTTTTTTTGTGCCGAGCTAATAAATTGTAAAATACGTCTCATTAATTGAGGATGCGACCCAATTAATGTTGTTCAATAGACGTTTCATGCTGATGTTCGTGTAATTCATTTTTATTTCTGTATTGCTTTATTTTTACGAATACTTCAAGGCAGGCAGGTCTGCAATTCACCAACTCTCAGGAAAAAAGCTAAAGAATGGCTAAATCATTAACGAGTGAATCTCGAAAGGCTGGTCTGCATCAGAAAGAAGACTTGCGGGCGCTGCCAATTGACTCAGAATCTTTATTCAGGCTGGAGGAATCCGACGAGCTATGAAGCCCTTTTCACAAGTGTCCAACTAAGCAGGCTACACTGAGCGTCGGTGGGAAGTGGAGTGAGCGACGTTCGTGCAAGTCGAGTGGAAGGGGAGGGTAGAAGGGGGGAGCTGGGGGGGTTGGGGTGGTGGTGGAGAGGGGAATGAGAGGGATGGGGGGGGGGCCTCACCAAGCACACTGACGAGCGCGTTGGCAATGATGGTGCCGAAGATGTTGGATGCGACGCACTGGTAGACGGCGCTCTGTCCGATGACGAGCTTCTTGAGCACGATGCGGTCACCCTTCACGGTGCGGTGCGGCTCGGCCGGTGCCTCTGCGGGAGAACAGGCGGATCGATTGCCGGTGGCACAAAACTCTCGGACGCCGCCACCGCCGCCTAGCCGTGTTATCGTGACCGGGGCGAAGGAACCCGGTGCCGGCCTCCGCTGCACCGGATATCATTCTGAGTAGAGCAGTCGCAGGAGGTTGATGGTCCAGCTCTCACTGACTCGCCCATCGGTGGTCAGCCGCCTCCCTATCGCTCTTCGAGCTCGACTACCGTGGTTCCTGTTCCAGCGAACTCATTGATACCTCCACCCGTGATGAGGGCTTGGTCTTCCAGGCTCACTGTCTCACCTGATACGTGCTATGTTCCACCGCAACAATGTCGATCACAACCCTTTCATTTCTGATTCGTCCCTTCCCACTGCTCAACTGTGGAATTCCCTCCCATCATCGTCATATCCTTTCCCAAGCAATTATAGCCTCGCTCAATTCATGAAACATGTTGATTCTGTATTCTTAGGTTTTTTCGGTAAAGTCACGTAGGTAAAAAATTAAAATTAATAAAAGTAAAATAAAAATAAAATAAAAATCACGACGTTTCGGAGGCAACACAAGCTTCTGTCTTCAGGTGGAACCGTTACAGCACGATAGCTGTATCAAGTAAGAGAAATTCCAAGAAAACAGTCCTTGTATATATACTGGTTGAGGGTGGGAGGAGCCAAGGTAGGCCCTGAATATTATTTTTGTGAGGTTCGGTGCGGCTGAAGCACGCTGCTAGGAATGCAGTCACGAAAGCTTCAAATCTAGAAGAAAAAAAATATTGATTCTGACCGTTCAGGGGTTTGCCGTTGAGAAGCCAGTGAGTGTCCGGCGGAGGCTTGCCGCCAGCGACGCAGTGCAGCACCGCGTCGTCGCCCGGCGCCACGATGCGGTCCTCCGGCCTGGCCGTCCAGTACGGGGCCGCTGCGCGTGAACGAGACAAAGATCCCACACCCGTGTCACCTTAACGGACTGCTGGGGTGAGTGCTGTTAGCGAGTAGCCACTCTGTGAAGGCCGGTTATGGCACGCGGAAGGGGGGTTGTGTGGCCAGCCTCACGCCCGGCCGATTTTGTCTCCTGAGCGGCGATGTTTAAACATCGTGCCAGCTACTCGTTTGAGGCTGAGCTGACCTAGGGGAGGCCAAAGACCAGTTCAGATATTCATCACTGGTGTTGGCCGTGGGCGGGAGTCAAACTCGGGTTGTCGGGTTCGTAGCATGGTAAGCTAACCGCTGCACTTCCACTCCCCACAAGTATGCCCACATCGACACAACCACAGATATATAAAAACATATACTTCCATATACACATATCCACACTTACATACATATACAAACAGAAATACATTGGTGAGTATTATCTAAAACAGTCCTTTACCCCCTTCACCAAGCACACTCACGAATGTGGTGAAGTATGGTCAAATAGCACCCATGACTGACATGGCATGGGAGGCCTTTGGCCCAGCAGTAAATAGACAAAGCGCTATAATTTATTGTCATATCGTAGAAGTTAAAAATACATATTCATGCCAGATGCTGCTAAACCTAGAATATATTACATAATGGTAACCTTTGCCTGTGCACTATAAAAATGCTGCAATGCATTCAATGCATTCAATTAGCTTTTATTCAGCAAATGGTTCTATTCACATGCATGCGTGTCTGTCTGTCATCCGACCTCCAGTATCGATTTAACCTAAGCAACTAAAGTGGCGTTGTGTGAGGTTAAAGCGCACTCTAAAGAAATTACATCATGCTTCATTTTTTTTTAAGCTAGCCGCCTATTGTTATTGTTAATCATGGAATGTTTTAGCCTCTAACCCGCACACGCTGCTCTCTGCAATCTCAGAAGAGCATCAGCTAATGGCCTTCGGGAGATGTCACGTCTCTGGTGGTTTGGGAATGTCACGCACTCTACTGCACTGGCGGTGTCCTCGACCGCACCGCGTCTGTCCTTACTCGCCCTGTGGTGAGACCAAATAACCGCCCGGTGAACCTCAAGCCCTCCCCGCCGCCACCATCCGCAGCGAGTCGCGGCCTCCGAGGTGTCGGTCGTAATTACTCTCGCGACGGGACGGGCATCGCGTCCTGCGCTGCCGCAAGTGCGAGCGCGTGCCGGCTTAGCGCGTGCGTTGGACCTGAGCTTCGTTCGCGTTCGTACGTCGCCAACCGCGCTCACCAGAGGTGCGACTTTGCGGCACGCACGGGCGTGCGAGGGCGGGAGCACGCGACGGCCATCGAATAATTGAATTGTCACGTGAAAAATTGGCAATGTAACAAAAAACTGGGCAATGTCAATGGGAGTCCCGTGTAACGCGACGGAGTGCCTCGTTGATTTATATCGCGCAACAACAAAGGCCCTTCAAAGTTTGCCGCGATTCGAATGAGCGTTAGCGACGCGTGCCTTTAGGGGACCCGTAACGGAGATGAAATGGAATGCAAAATGAAATTAAGAAGCAGGAGCACCAGAGGACATAGACTAGGGAACATGTAATTAAAATGCATGATTGATATCCATTGCATCTCTACAACGACAACTAGCAACCCGAATTGAACCCCCGCCCGTTATCTATGCAGAGAATGAACAAATGAGCCGAAAACTCCTGTAAACGACGTGGGAATCGACAGTTCATATCTCATATCGGCATCGCTTAATCCACATTCTGGAGGTGGTCCCACGTGTGCAACCCTGAACTGGGTGGGGGGAGGGGGGGGGAGCAAGAGGGTTTGTAAGGACACGTGCCGCCTGCATTCTCCGCCACCAGATTCTGTCGACTTTGTCATCCATTCATCCACGGCACAGACAAGCCAGCACTGCCTTATCTCACTCTATCCCCACATCACCCGGCCACGCAACGCATTCCTTGCCGGGCGTGCTCAATGAAGACGTGGCGTTCACTTTAGACGCGGATTGTTGCCGCAGCCGGCATCCTGTGGCCGCCTGACACGCATCACGAGCAAGCGTTCATTTTAGGTTCTCTCTCCAAGGAGAGGTCCCTGGCTGAAGCTCCCTCCATCCCATCTCATCCCCCTGCACCCCCTCTTTCACCTCGAAACACTGGGATCTTGTGCTGTATCTTGGGAAGAGTAGTCGAGGTTGTTTCCCTTGCCTTTCTCAACAGTAATCTCGAGGTGACATCATCCACGGATGCGGTTTTATGTCACTGCCAGGACAAACTCCTGCCACTGGTCTCGAGAAGAATTGGACTAAGTCTGAGTTTTCAAGGTGGAAAGTTGGCTCAGGGATGCTGAGATGTTGGGCTCGATTCTGGGGCAGCCATCCATGATTGAATTGGGTTCTCAAGTGTAGCCAGTTGATGGTCTGAGCGAAATCAGCAATGACTGTACAAAAAAGCGATCATATACCGTTTGTTTTCTCACCTAAATCAGTTACATTTAATCTATGTGCAACTCGAAACGTATTTGTTTGACTGCCATGCGATGCACCTTTCTCTGCAGCAAGGCGTTGTGAGTGAGGAGAAAGTGTCTTTAAAAAACACCATTGGAACCTCATTTGCCAGAAGAAAAAATATTATTGGTTTTTTACCCTTTTATCTGGCAACAAAACTGATACCGTTTTTTTTACAAAGGCACACCTTTTGGCGTCATCTGGTCCAACACCATGTGAGACTAGGCTCTAAGGAAAGCTGTCTCGGGTGTGGACCAATCAACTTCAAGTACAGTGCATACATTATCAGAGTTATGTTTTTTGTTTGCATTATTACTGCAGGTATTGTGGTCTATGCAAACATGACTCCTTGTAAAAAAAGGTGTCAGCTTTGTTGCCAGATTAAAGGGTAAAAAACCAATTATCACAATTTAAAAAAAAGTTCGCTCGAAGGGATTTCAGCTGTAGTTCTGCGATATCCTCTTCCACTGGGACACTCTCGAACACAGTTAAACGCAATGTTGCGCAACGACTTCAAACGGACACTTTGTGCCGTGACGTGGTACCAGTGGCGCAGTCCAAATCACAAAGAATTTACACAGGTGGGAATACAATCGTCGGCTGGCTCGCTGGGGGCATTGTCCCCGTGGCGTTTTACCGTCCACTGTGACGACGAAGGAGTGGTGCGCTGAGCCCATGTTGTTGCTGGCGATGCACTTGTACTGCCCGCTGTCTTCCACCTCCACCGGGTGGAGTCGCAGCGTCTTGTTGTGGTTTCCCGTCGAGAAGCGGCCACGAGGCATGTGACCGTTCACCCTCTCCCAGCGCACGTCCGGCGTCGGCCTGCCGTCACACGCACGAGCGAAAAGTGTGCGGGCCAACATACAAAGATAAAGATCCCCCGTATAGCCTTAACAGACTGTAGGGGAAAGTGCTGTTAGCGAGCACCTATGAAGGCCGGAATGGTACACGAGGGGGTGGGTGGCCAGCACCACGCCCGACCGCCTTTGTCTCCCCAGTGGCGATGTTTACACACCGCACCAGGTACTCATTTGAGGCTGAGTCGACCTAGGGGAGGCCCAAGACCGGTTCAGATAATCGTCACTGGGTGTTGGCCGTGAGCGGGAATCGAACCCGGGCCGCCAGGTTCATAGCGCAGCGCGCTAACCGCTACACTACCGCTCCCATACACACACACGACGCCTCAAATTTGTCACTGCGGCCCAAAGCGATGAAGGCGGAAGCCCTGAAATTTATTGGCTCGTGCCACCGCTGGCGGAATGGCCTCTGGTGGAGGGAGAAGCCGCCCCCTCCTCCTGCCGGAGCCGCGGTTCCAAAACCTTTCTGGATCCACTGACCACAGTCAGCCCGCAAATCAGTTTTGCGGACCGTCATGCGCCAATGACATGTGTTTTTATCGTAACTACTCTGAAAGTACTGAGCCAACTTAAATCCATTTATAGGATTAGTCAATAAAAAGCAGGTTAAATCTAATGGCTTCTGCAAGGGCAGTAAAAAAAGCAAGAAATCTGCAACACTTGGGCAGAACACCTCCCGTGGCCCTGCAGACCACCAGCAGCCCACAAACCACGGGATGTGAGCCACAGCCCGAGCGGGAATCTGGCCTCCTTAAATCCACCACACGCGACCTTTCAATCGACTAACTGCAGGGGGGGGGGCATCCATTTATACTGCCGGGTGGACAGAGGCAGGGGAATCTGAGAGAAAATTCGACCAGTGTCAGCTGCTGCGGCGAATTGGACTGGGGAGCAGTGCGCGAGCAATCACGCTACAGTAGCATGCCTTTGTTATTGAGGTCATTTTTTCAGTCGGCGTCCTCACGGCGAACCCTGCACCTTGGTAGCGTGGCGGTAATTGTGAGCCAAGCTTTGCTCCCTACTTCGCATTCTGATTTCGTAAATATATGCATGTATTCTCTCTCTCTCTCTCTCCCCCCCCCGCACGGATATCAGAACAAATTAAATCAGGAGAGTGGGAAATAAACAGTTGCAACGAGGGCAGCAAAATGTGCAATTGGCCTATATTCTTAAAATTGCTGAGGCGTGCGCATTCCAGAAGCTATACAACAGAGACCTGTGCAATACCACATTATTAGCATATATGACATATAGCTCCATTTTATTATGGCACGCTTGTCCCCATGGGCCACAAGGCACCTTGTAAAAGACAAATTAAGTGGAAAACAAACTTTAATAAGATAATTTATTTGTGGAGCTATTGGCAACTGGGCTGAGGCCATCAATGCACTACATTTGAGGACTTGGTTTAATCACGTGCGGCTGAACCTCAGCGATGAGACGATGGCTCAGTGTCTCTCGACGCCTGAGTTCCCTGGCTACCTCAGTATGGATCATTAAAACAACTGCTCCGTAGAGGTGGGCGGGTGGATCAGAGGTCAGAGCGCTGAGCTGGCTTTGCTGAGATGCTATGGCTGAGTCCAAGCAAGGTGCTTGTGATTAAATCGGGTCGTCTAGCGACGCAAGTTAATGGTCTCAACCTAGCCACCAATGATAGCCTGAAAACAACGGCAACATTAAATTGCTTCCTGCGCTTAATGATGACAAATTGCACCTCTGATAATGAAAACATTGTATTGACTGTCACGTGATAAAAAAATACTCTCAGTGGGTGGGAAAGTGTCCCTCCCACCACCCCACTGTGTAGACCGGAGGTCACTTGAAGGTAGTTCTGTCGCATCTGCTTCTGCAGGCCATTCACCAACACGGGTGGGTTGCATTGCTTTACGAGAGATTCAAATGCATAGTGAGCCTTGTGGCACGACACAGACGGCACAACCTGGATACAATTAGACAAAAAAAAATACAAAAGTTTGTGTTTTTGTTTGACTGTGACTCCACGTGTGTTTGGCGTGTTAGGTGCGGCGCTGTTGGTCATTGGCGTAGAGAAGGAGACACTCACAGGCCCTCGGCGATGCACTCCATCACGAGCGTACTTCCTTTCAGGCTGTGCATCCTTGTGGTTTTGCCATGGGGCGTGAGCAGGCTCGGCAGGCGGTTGCGGAGACCCCCGGCTGCAAGCGTGAAAACACCGCCGTCACAAACGGGAACACGTCCATTAGCCACAATGCACTGGGCACGCGTAATGGGACGCTGTTGGTTTAATCAGCGGCAAAAGCTTTTAAAAGTACGACAGGCGTCTCGGTTGAGGGATAAATTTACGACGCATTAGCCGCTCAACTTTGACCACAGACATTAGTAATGCACGTCGCAGTTCAAATCTCGATGGAACATAAAAAACTACGTAACTTTTTTTTTTACCCAAAAACCCAATTTTATCAATTTTGCTCACTTAGTTCACGTAACAAATCTCACAAGTATGAGCTATATCAAACTGCGTTAATGAGGAATAATTGAATTGCCCTTCATACTGCGCACATCGTTAAGCCGCAGAGGAACATGCGTGTGTGGTGTACGCACACGCGTGCACGTGCGTGTGCGTGCGTGCCATTCGCTAGGATCTCAAACGGAGAAAAACCTTTAAAAAAAAGAACAAAATTAAGCGTCCAGCAGCATCGGCACAAATTGCACCTCCCCCGGCGGGAGCAAGAGCACATGCACGTTTGCCGCCACATCCCGAAAGCATGAGTCAGTCACGTGAGCAGAAATAAATGGCCCCAGCAGAAAACAGCCAAAGGAAAACAAAAATCATAGCCGCTCGGTATTAACTCAGGAATCAGCGCAAGCAACATTTTTTTTGTTATCGCGTAAAAGAAGAGAAAATCCCTCATGAAAGATTTGCCAAAAACGTATAGTTATCAAAACATTCCCAAAAAAAATTATGACAAATTGCTAATTAAAAAATTTAAGCAAAGAGTTTAAAATATTGATCATATTTGTGTAAATAGAAGACTCCTTTAGAGATTACTTTTATACAAAACTTCGTGAATACGTTTTTATTTTATAATCCAATTGAGCACACGTTAGTTTCATACATTCATGACTGCTTGATATTTTCAATCTTGTGTACTTGGGCAAATCGCATGATCCTCATTCAAAATTGAAACAAAGTGGTTTCCTGCTTTTACTAAGAATGGGGAACAATGCTCACCTCTTGTTTACTTGCAGCCCTGAATCAGTGGTGGAATTCCACATTCTTATGGTAGGGGCAAGAGTATCTTAAAATGAACAAATCACTCTCGACTTCTCTACAGAAGAAGTACTCATTTTATGGACCCCCGAGTGTGACGAATGGCGGAGTCAACACCTGACCGGGATTTGAACTCGGCAAACTTCCGATTGCGGTCCTCTGCGTCATCTCTTAGCTGGATGAACTTACACATCCATCGTGATTAATTGCCTTCCGTGCATTAACAAAACACACTCGGCTGTGATTTACGCACATCTGCAATTTGCACACTCCGACCGGGGCGAGTGAGATACATGAAGCAGTAAGAAGAACCAGCCGCAGAGCAAAATAGAAAAAAGAAAATCCCATCAGCAGCATTACTGGGCTGGGTTATACGTGCCCTAAGTATTTAACATGAGCAGGTGATGCCATGGTATAGCCCAGAGGGAAATGACCAAAAAGCAAGCATGTGCTGTATTATGATTATTTCTCCCTCCGTTGCATTCTCTTTACCGCGTGTGTTAGACCTCGCACTCACTTGCAATTCGAAGTGATCGACCGCCGGTTCGTGTTTCCGCCAATTAGACATTTCACCGTAGCGGTTGTTCTTGTGCGAAGCGGGTTCACGACAACATTCCAATTTAATTCGCGCACGCGGCCACATTTCAGACGTCGGGATGCGCGCGCACCCACGCGCGCATCCACGCTTGTTTTGCTTTGCCGGGCCCGGAAACTGTTAATCAGAAACGGCACGCATCCAGATGACCCGGCCCAATCGTAACCTTTCTTACGGCGGTCAAGGGCGGATTAGTGTGCGTTCATTCATCGCACCGCGGTGAGAGCGCACTTCAGCTCGCCCGTGAGTTCGAGGCCTAAGGTCACAAGGAGTCTCACAGGAAGGCAGCGGCTAAGAGGGTCAGCTGTTAGTCTCCAAGCGATCGCCGGCTCGAGCCACTCACCAACAGCTAATTGGGTTTCGTTCACACTCGATGACTGTGCGTCATCAAGTGTTTCCACTGCAACAAATGAAATAGCTGCGTAAAGTTTCAAAAACGATAAAAGAAAAAGGAGAACACAAAAAACGCACACATGTGAAGGAGAAAATGTAAAAAATAATTCAGAAAGTAAGATTTTGTAAAGGTACTGTTTTACTTTAGCTGCAGAGGTTGAGGAAGTCAGAATGTTGAATATCACAATGCAGGAATTGTTAATAGGACAACTCCATCTCATGGAGACCTGACCGGCTTATGCAATTCGTTACTCTTTTTGTACCCTGCTAGAGTGCAGTAAGAAGCAAATAGCGTCATATCCAACACTGTTTTCATGTACAGTGTCACTATAAAATGATCCTTCTACAAACCTGGCCAACCTTTGGCTGATGAACAGAACTTCAAAGTTTCAATCTAAAAAAAATGCCCATTACTCACATGAAACATTCCAATTATTGCTCGGCCAAGACTATGCAACATTACTCAATAGTCATTTCCTTCGCTCACACAATGGCCATCCGAGGTCTCAATAATCAGCAAGACAGTGAAGACGCTGTCCTGAACTTGCAGCAGAAAAGTTATCAGAAAGACAAATACAAATTATCTGGGGGAATTAGGAGTTGCGGTGGTGAAGGCAAACGTGCTATCAACCCTAGCGAGCTGAGTTCGATTCCCGGCTGCTGCTAACAGCACCGGTCTTCCTCCTGTCACCCTTCGCCAACCAGCGCTGACCAACCTGTTGGTCAGTTATTGGCGACACGGCATGGGGGGGGACACCTTCATCCATCGGCAGCACGCGTGCTCTTTAAGGACCTTAATTTCGTGCAATATTCGACCAGTGCCAGGAATTGCTTGGGGAGAGTGCATTTCTTGGTGTGCTACTTCATAGGACAATGCCTGATCGAATTTGCACTTGAAATTCTAATGAACACTCACGTTCATCTGAATAAACACACACGATCGCCCGTGTAGCCTGAACAGGCTGTTGAGGCAAGTGCTGTTAAGGAGCATGCTCCTGCGAAGGTTGGCACAGCACACAAACGGGTGGGTGGCCAACAATTGATCCCGGCTACGTTTATCTCCCTGATGTTAATACTCCACACCAGGTACTAATTTAAGGTTAAGCCGAGCTAGGGGAGGCCCAGGACTGGTTCAAATATTCACCACTGATATTGGCCGTGAGCAGGAATCGAACTCGGGTCGCAGGGTTCATAGCGCAGTGCACTAACCACGACACTACCGCTCCCAGCATACATACATTCACACACATACAGGATGCATCTAGCGCCGTCATGCACGTGTGCAAAAGAACGACAACGTGGGGAAGGAAATTGAAACGACGAGCCCTTCAGTTGCCGTCGATTCAAAGATTCTGCCACGCATTCCGAAAGAGACTCGCGACCACAAATCGAGGCTCTGCGTTCTCATTCCGCCGGAAGTATTTTTACGCTTTGCTTCGTCAAATAGCACAAAACAGTTTGATGAATAAAGGACAGCTCGGGGACATGTATAATGCTGCCAGTCATGGATTCAAAGAGTGAGTGACAGTTTGTGTTCTGGAGGTCTCTTCTCCATAGCAGCGGAATATTTTTTTTTCCCTATGCAGCTCTGCCAGAAAGCGCCGTCTTTGTTGTTTGATTGCCTTAGACGTATGTCTCCGCAGGAGGGTGGGAATAGTATTCTCTCCACCGCCTGCAACTACTGGCAATGCGAGCATACAATTATTACCAACTCATGACCTTTAACTGAAACGCCGGGACCTATAATAACAGGTTTTGGTGAACAGCAATGGATGTGACTGGCAAAGCAGCTGAGGCAAACAGCCTGCTTCACACACAAGTGCAAATCAAGAAGGTGTTTTTTATACACTTGCACGTACGTGCACGGATACACACGCAAAAAGACAAAGGCATGTGCGCGCAGACATACACAAACACACAATTACACACAAAGATCTCCCCTGCAGTCCATAACAGACCGTGTTAGTGAGCATTTATGAAGTCCAACAGGGTGCACGAGTCGGTGGTGTGGGTGGTGTGGGAAACGCCATTCCTGACCATTTTTGTCTCCGCAGTCGTGAAGTCCGAGATGACTTACGGGAGGCCTAGGACCAGTTCATACATCACTCGCCGATGATATTAGCCGTGGTCGGAAATCGAACTCAGGTTGCTGAGTTTGTGTAGCACTGTAACTAACCGCTGCACCACCGCTCACCACAAAATTCAAATATCCTCCATAGAGCCTACACAGGCTGTCAGGGCAATAAATGTGCACAAACTCCTACAAATGGCGGTACGGAATACGAGCGTTGGTGATGGCTAGTCACACACCCAGCCGTTTTTTGTCTCAATGTTGGTGATGTCTGCACCAAGCACTCACTTAAGGCTGAGTTGGCTGACACACAAACGTGCGCAAACATATACACAGACGCACACACACACAGAGGCTGCCTCATGTACCACCGCATTGAAGGACTTTCATGGGTCATTTGCCACACCACGCGCACGGGCATACACCACAAGTGCCCTCTGCTCTTTGAAGCACAGTTTCTCAGCCACGATGTGGAGGCAATTGCGAACATGCCATGGCCTCAGCTGCCAGTCAATGGGTTCATATTTCAAGGAAAATAAACCGGGAGCCTGGAGACGGACGAGGCACAATGCACTCAAAAACATCTGCCTGTAATTTATTTGGCTTTTGCCGCAGCTACGAGCCAGCCAGCGAAACTTGTTCACTTTTAAAGGCCGCCGGATTGGTCGGCGATTTACTGGCGAGAGCCGCACAATATTCTTCAGTGCGGGAAGACTTTCCCTGCGACGTTTGGGCACAGAGTTTCATTTCGACTCGGGCGTTATACTAACAGCCGAAGTTCTGTTGAATTGCGGTAATGCGTTTTTTTTCTACCTGTTCATGCCTTATCCAAACACACGCGCACACACGTGCACCGTGCATGTTGTACAACACAGCATTGATCAGCACCATGTTGAGAGGCCTAATCACAGCTTGGTTCAGAATTTCAAAGATCCGCAGTGAATTCATCTCTCTCTGGAGGCCAATTTCCTAAACCAGCATGATAGAAAAAGTGCATTGTAATGTGATATATAGAAATATATATATAAATATAACAGAACTTTAAATCCATATACATTTCAGAATCCTATTTCGTTTGAAAAGAAGATCCAACGTCCACTATCCTCAAGTGTAACGTTAGTTGGTTACCATCTTAACACTATAACAATACCATAATAACATATGGCAGTGTTATTCTTGCGTAAAAATATTTTAAATATTCAATATGACAGTCATCAACCTATTGGCCTCCTGTATACATATTTAACAGCTGACAGTTGCTGATGGGTCTCATCAGCAGAGTAAGGCCCATTACATTACTGCAAGTTGTCCGGAAATGTATATATGTATGTTGAATTTCTTTCACATCATACATAGCCAACCCTGCTAATCGGAGGTGCGGAAGTCCAATAAGCCTGCTCGCTGAACCGAATTTTTTTTATACAATTTTGATGTGGAGATGTGGAATGAATTTCGCCTGTTTATTTGTTTACCCTATCCATAATCCACACGGGATGGCACGTGATAATATTTCACGTAACCTGGCGGTCACCGAGTGTGCACGGCAACCCGAGTGAATCTTACGTGAGCGGACTTTCAGCTTGATGGGCTCCTTCGAGATGATGGTACGGGAGGCCACAAACTGCGCGTAGCAGATGTAGTCGTCTCGGCTGTCCACCGGCTTGACGTTGGAGAAGTAGAGGTCACCGCTGAGGCCCTGCGACACTCGCTTGTCCTGCCCAATGTGGTCCAGCGCTGCGAAGGCAAAAAAACAAATGCCCTAACTCGCATACGGAAGGGCAAGGAAAGGTACGTCAAGGGCTCGAGTAAGCGTGGAGGTGATGCTAATCTCCGGTTTACAGCCTCGAGCCAGAGGTGGAAATTCCACAATTCATGTGTCAGGGGGCAGGGCAGCTTTATCCCATAGGACAACCATTGCCGACTTTCCTTCTCGATAGCAAGGATATACCTCTGTTGAGTTTTTGTGACACAGAATCTAAACATTATATATATATATTTGTGTAACCGCCGGCATCGTGTTCTGTCGTCGTTCCGTACTGCTCGTCATCCACAAGATTTTGGGGGGAGGAACGCCCTGGGGAGGCTTGCAGGGCAGAACCACCGAGTTGCCCTCGTCAACCTCCATGGGGTCCAGCACTTCCTTGGGCCACTTGGGGGTACCTGGGCCACGCACGCAACATGGGCACGCGGTCACCGCTGGCTGGCGAACGTTGGCACGGGCTATGCGCAAGCTGCGCTCACGCTATGCACACACTACGCACACCACGTTCACAATACGCACACGCTATGCACACGCTACGCACACCACGTTCACAATACGCACACGCTATACACACGCTACGCACACGCTATGCACATGCGCTCGAATGCACAGCGCTGACGGTCCTCGCGGGCTCTAAACGAGGCCTTTGATGATGGTCGCGACCACCAATTGCTACAGCACAAAGGATATCACGAAGACGCCACGTTGCACGCATGAGGACAGGATAATCTGTCGCAGATCAACAGTAGGGGGGCGATGTTGCTATGGTGGCGGGTTTTTTTCCCCCGATTGAATACATTTTGAGGTTGTTATTTTTTTCAAAATGTGGGCCATTACGTCAGCGCACGTGGCCTATTCTTCTTAAAACATTATCACGGAATTTTGTTAACGTCCGCTATGACGCAGGCGGCAAATGCTCGAATGACATACCCGCAGTGTTAACGAGGGCAACCGCCGGGCTCCAACAGCAAACCTCTGCGACCAAGCAGCAAAGGCACAACCGCTCGGCCGTGTCACTGCCCAGCAATAGGGCCCACTTTACAATGTTTACTCCCTTTGTCGCCCAGCGGCCTGGACACCCCTGGACCATGGAACCCGGTGCAGTTGCACCGACTGCGCACTTGATAGCTCCGCCACTGGGAGTAACAATACATCATGGCACTGTGCGATTTACACGAGGGAGACAACACGACGGATAGGCAGGTGCCTGCGAAGGCACTGGGGATGTTTAGGTACACAAGTAGGAAGGTAGAACAGGTACTCCGCAGGGAACGTGGGTTGGGTAAGTTTGTAGACACACTGGGAAGGTGGGTGTATTTAAACATCTGTTTGACAGGATGTTTGCCGGAGAGGGTTTCTTTTTGCAGCTTTGGCAATCACTGATTACTAAAAGAGAAGTAATAACAAACAGATGTATTTTCTCACTGGGAGGAAGGACAGAACTGGTATTTGGCTGGTTTCCTTGTTTATTACATGGGGTCCAATTTGCGGCTTGACGAAATAGCTGAATCACACTGGCTTGGCAATTTGCCCTTTTGTTGTTAATGGAGACATCAGCATGGTTTTGGCAAAAAAAAAATCGTACGAATTTGTTCAATACCAACACGTGGATCGGGCCATTAGAGGTTACATGTGAATAAGACCAGCCAGCCAACACCTGAACTCTTTCCCTCCATCAGAAAAGCTAAAAGTGGAGGCCTGCAACATTTTGCTCACGCCACTGCTGTGGTAGAGCCTCCACAAGAGACCTCTAAAGGGCTCCTTCCTCGCCACCTATTTTGGCGTGTCATTTCCACGCAGGCCAGATGTCTCGAAGACATGGGAGTACCCATACTTTACCCCACCGCACACGACCTGCCGATCAACTAACTGTGGGTGGTGTATTCATTTACACGGCCGAGTGGACAGAGGTGGGGAGAATTAAAGAGAGCATCCCATCGTTTAAACTTCCACTCCGGGAGATTGAACCGGAGACAAGTGGATGGCAAATCCAGTGAGCTGACCATCATTATAACATGGCAGCATCCTCTTCCTCCATCTCATTTTCAATATGAAAATGTTTTTTTTTTTTAATAGAGAGCCCCGCACATGCAGCTTACGGTAGCCATACATCCGTGCAAACATCACTTATATTTTTCAAGGAAAAAACAAAAGGACGTTGGTGAAATTCTGAGGAAGGCTCTGGCTGATGGAACTGCAGGGTCAACTGGGGAAGGTACACATCTGCAAACGTTTACCATGGATAGCTCGTCTGTTACCTTCCATCTTAGGAGGCATGTCACTGTGGACATCTTTCCAAACGATGAGAAAAAAAGACATGATTAACATATTCAAAACACGAACACGAAAGCAAGAGAATCGTGACGGAAAAAAATAATCGGATTTTTTTAAAGTCAAATCATGATTGCATTTCACATTCGTGCCGTGCTCATAGTGCAAGGCTATCACATAAGTGCTGCGTTTCACAGACACAAGCCTACAATCGCAGATGGTAAAGTCTTACATGACAGTCTAGTTTAAAACATATTGTGTAAAAAAAGAAAGACACACGCAGACATCCCATCTTACTTTCGGCCACTCATTTGAAATATTATTGCGCAGATTACATCCCCGACATGCTGAAATCCCCATTTATGAAAACAGATGCCTGCTGTCACTTTGCTCCGATGACAAATGTCTGCAATCCCGTGCCTATGGCTGTGGCGGTTTCCTGGTTAAGCCGCGGCTCACAGAGATTGACAGGACGATCGGTAGAGACGGAATTGGGAGCCCAATGGCTTCGCCAATATTGGTGTAATAAACCTTCTTGAGACGGCTTCCGGAATCAGTCCTTTATTGTCAACTTTTCACAGTTACACTTTAGACACACTCTCCGTTGCTGGCTGACAACGGAGAGAGGGCAGACTTCTCGCTAAGTCCCCACCGCGTACGCGCGTGACTCCCGCTCTGTTCGGTTCCCAGTCTGCTCCCGACTGTCCCCTCTCTCTCTCCTTTTATCCCTCCGTCACGTGGTACTCCCCAGCCAATCCTCCATGGACAGCGTTGACCGTTCCAGATGGTTCCCTGTCAATCCCGGGACCACGCCCCTGATCCGGCTCCCCATTAGCTGAGGCCCCAATTGGCCAAGCCAATCACCCCTGCTAACACGCCGTGATCACGCCGGGGCCATGCTCCCTGGCTCATCCCTTATTGGCTACAAAGCAGGACTGGCAAGCCAATCCCCACGTGAATCCTCTATAGCTGTTATTACATTGGTACAAAGTTCGGCGGAATTCAGCCCTGGATGGAACAGGTTGCCCGCGTGGTCATCGCGTGCGGACAGGCGTTTCTAATAACTCCTGTGTTTGTACGGCGTGGAATAAAAGATGAGGATAGAGAGACCAAAAAAAGCCCTTAGCCGTTTTATTCCTTAATTAACAATTGGTAAGTCGAATGTGACGTTCGGATGTGACTATTTAAATGTTAAAGGTTGATTTTTTTCAGTGTAATCATATACTCCTGCTGCAGCAGGAGCAGCAGCAATGTAATTTAATACACTGAAATTAACCTAAGATGTTTCAAGGCCTCATTAATATCAGAAGTGCAAAAGCTCCATGAAAGGAAGATATGTAATTAAATGCCATTTGCTGCACTGCAATCAACGCGTGCATTCATTTGTACGCATTAAGCAATTCAAAAAAAAGAACCCATCAGGAAAAAATACCTTCTGCTCAATTCTTTACTTTGCACGTGATCATTGCCCTGCATGATATATATTCAATTTAACCCCCCCTTACCTTCTTGGACAAATATCATAAGCGATGCCTGTACAAGAGCACACCAATTAGCCATTACAACGGGACACGTGAAAACCTCATGAAGTGAATTTGTTGAGGACGTCACGTATTACCATCAAAGTCGTAAATGCAAACACAGCGGGAGAACGTACAACTACAGTTGAGTCAGGAATCGAACACAGACCCCTTTTTTGCTGTGAGGCACAAGCGTCACGACTGCGCGAACCTGCCCTCCAGAGTTTTGGGTATCTGTCTTCGGTGTTCGAGGCTTAATTCATTGGTAGTATGGCAGGTTTTCAAACAATTCTAAGTAGAACATTTCAGCAGTTAATCCATTTTTACCCTCTATATTGAGAGAAAGTGCCTGACAATGTTGCACGTATGTCTGTTTCTGAAATCAATTGGCTAATTGTACAAATATAAATGCTTCAGTCCGTAGAGTAAATCCCATATTCGAAATATTTTTTTCTTCCACTAGACACAATTGTATTTGTTATCTGAACTAGTGCTGGGCCTCCCCTAGGTTGACTCAACCTTACATGCGTCTCTGGTGTGGTCTGCAAACATCGTCACTGGGGAGATAGACAAAGGCGGGCTGGGCATGGCCCTCGCCACCACATCCCCGCGTGTGCTGTGCTTGCTGACGGCACTTGCCGTCAGGGTTGCCACCCGTCCAGGTTTTTACAGGATCCTCCTCTTGTTCAGAGCTACCCTGGGAAGACCGTAATTCCTTCCCGGAACATGAAAAGTCACAGTTGTTGTGTCTGTTGGCACTCATAGACCTTCAAGGGCAATGCATTTCCAAGTTCTAATAACCTTGCTCAATTAAAAACAACTATTATTTATTATAATTGTTTTTTTACCCTTTTATCTGGCAACAAAACTGACACCTTTTTTACAAGGAGTCATGTTTGCATTGACCACAATACCTGCGGTCGGAATGCAAACAAAAAACACAACTCTGATAATGTATGCACTGGCCTTGAAATTGATTGGTCCACACCCGAGACAGCTTTTTTTAGAGCCTAGTCTCACATGGTGTTGGACCAGATGACGCCAAAAGGCGCCTTTTGGCGTCATCTGGTCCAACACCATGTGAGACTAGGCGCCTTTTGGCGTCATCTGGTCCAACATCATGTGAGACTCGGCTCTAAGAAAAACTGTCTCGGGTGTGGACCAATCAACTTCAAGGACAGTGCGTACATTATCAGAGTTGTGTTTTTGATTGCATTCCGACCGCAGGTATTGTGGTCAATGCAAACATGACTCCTTGTAAAAAAATGTGTCAGTTTTGTTGCCAGATTAAAGGGTAAAAAACCAATTATCATATTTTGCTACTGGCAAAGGAGGTTCCAATGGTGGAACCATTTTTTTATTACATTTTAAGAGTTTTGATACGTATATTGGTTATATGTGTTGGTTTTGAACGGCCCACGATTAAAGTTTAATAGCGTTGTTTGTTGCTGGCCACTCGTTGCTTTATGCCTTTAGCCGTGCACTCACAAACTGCGGTGAAACAAGAACAAGAATCGCTTGAGGCTCTCCCATCTTCCGGTCCAGCATTGTGAGATATTGTCCTCCCCGCCCACGATGTGTCCCAGAGCGGTCTTCTTCCTAAGCCTCACGTGCCCCCCAAGAGTTGGACATCTGCGAAATAGAGCTTCATGGCTCGTCGGATTTCTCCAGTGTAAATAAATAGTCTGAATCGAAGTTTTTTCGATGCCAACACGGCATGGGGGAGGAGGAGGGAGAGGTGCGGGTGGCAGGGGGTTTGGGGGTTGGGGTGATCATTGTGCCTGCCACACGCTGGTGGCCCTTACTTGCAATGCGCAGTTTGATTTTGTCGGAGACAGCGGTGCCCAGCTTGTTGGAGACCAGGCACTGGTAGTCGCCCTCGTGCCGCTTGGCGTGGCCGGTGCTGTTCTTGACGAAGGTGAACGAGCCCGAGCTCTCGGCCGTCACCACGCCCACCTCGCCTCTCGGGTCGAACGACTTGCCATTCTTCGTCCAACGATAACTGCAAAGGGGCATGGGACAGCACCGTCCATTCCGCTGACCCGGATCGCTTAAGCAAGCATGAGAGTCGCCTGGTCTATTGAGTTCGAAACCTGGCTCTGTTCGTTTTGTGCGCACAATGGCAACACGTTCGGGAGCTAAATGCCAATGTTGAGGTCTGCTAGCAACGAGGAGAAGGCTTCAGGAGAGAGCTCGTGTAGTTTTAATACTCCCTCCTTTGAATGAGCACAAACTACCAGTATTCTAGTCTATGGCTCACCTGGTTAAACAAAATAACCTTGGGCTTGTAGTTTAAAAGACCGGTCAAAATTATTTTCTGCTCAAATGAGCATTGGAGGTGGACGGCACTCAACTCCCATTTACAGCCCTCAGTAGGTGGTGGAAAAGCCACGTTCTTATGGCAAGGGTCCATCTAACCATTGCACAACCACCGTCGACTTCTCCAAACATCGGTATTCATTTTATGGACCCAAGAGGGATGATGGGCTGAGTCAACCCCCCACCCAGGATGCAAACTCGCAACCATCTGATTGCGAGCTGCTTGCTCTACCGCTGAGCCACCTAGCCGGGAAAAAACAACAACTGCTCACTGCTCTACCCACAGAATAGTCGAGTGTGCTCTGTGAAGCTGGATTCCCATAGTTTGTCTCTAACTCGCATCTCGCTCACTCTGCATGGACTTTGCGTGCCGGATTATCACTGCCATATGGCGCCTGCATTCTCTGCACGCACTGTGACCAAATCGCCCGGAACGCGCGCCAGATTTCTCCAGATTTCAGAACCTAAGCAGGTGCTTAGCCTGGACTGTGCTTGGATGGGTGACCACTGTGCACAACAGGTTGTTATAGGCTGTGAGGCTACGCTGACAGCAGAGGGCAGTGCAGAAAAATCCACTGTTGCACTGCTACTTCAATTATTCTCCAGCCTTCACCAACCCACACTGACCGGTATGGTGAAGTATGATCAAATAACCCACCCAGCTGCCATCGCCCCCCCTCCCCCACGCTTCACTGCGTAGAGAGGCTCTCATCCAGCATTGCAATTACAAAAGGTTGTACACAGCACTTTATTTCTCATGGAATATTTCCAAGACTCCCCCCAAATCCCCAAACCCAAACCTCTCGCCGGCAGCAGATGGGAGGGTGGGGAATGACATTGTTATAATATAAGTACAGACATGTGTTTTACCCAGGAAAGCCTCAATGAGACTCAAACATATTTTTCAGGAGAATCTTGCGAGGTTTCACAATAAAAGTGATATTCCAATGTGTTTATTTTTCTTCCACGAATTAATATGTTTGCGGTGCAATTGTTCACACGTGGCCCACCAATTTCAAATAACGTCACGGGATCTGCGACGTCGATCGTGTAAAGCAGGTTTGCGTGCATATCGTCGATGGTATTTATTATATATTTTTACCAGGTAAGGTCAACTGAGCTATGTAGCTCTTTTTTAAAAGTGACCTGGCCACAAATTATAGCTCAACGAAGTGGCTTATCACGTGGAAATTTACACCAGCCAAATACTCGAAACACATGTTAATTATAAATGTGGAAGGAAAACCCAGAGGACCCGGAGAAAAATCCACACAACCACGGAGAGAGAGACATGCAAACTCCAAATATACAGCAGGCATCAGCGTCGGGATCGAACCCACGACCTCCTGTATACCAGGCGAGGTAGTTAACATCTCGTTACTGCAGCGCCTTAATACACCCGCCAGTGTTAACCAGGACGGTGGTGAGGCTCGAACCGCTAACCTCAGCTTCCGAACAGGTCCGGCTGAAACTGACCCCTGGTTGTCCATGTGCACCCTGGATGCAGTCAACGGAGTGGGGCCCACCGCAGAAGCCCTGTGGGTTTAATGTGATGCCGTGCGGCAGCACGGCTGGTTAACCACGTACCTCGGGGCAGGGGTCCCTTTGGCCTCACATTTCACTAAAATGTCCTCTAACGGGTCGACGTAGTGGTCAGTGGGGGACTGCTTCGTGATCGCAGGCGGCTGCTCCACTGCGGAACAAAAACGGCACACATTAAAGCAACACTTCGGCGCTGTCAGTCGGCGGCTTCTGACTTGCAATACAGTAAATCACCCGATTTCCGCCCCGCACCGTACCCCACAACCCCGTCCCGAGAATTTGATTTGAGAATCAATGTTTTTTTTGTTTCCCGTCTCGTTTTGATTGACCGTCTCATTTGTATTGCATCTCTATGTAGAGCCGTATTCGCTCCATGAGGTTAAATATTCCATGAGCATGAAGAGGTGAAAGGCAAAAAAGTCTGGCCCTGCGGTCGCCTGCTCACGTCATTGCTGGCTTGAAGGGCTGCCATGAGACAAAGCTCTAGAAGAGCACCTCTGGATGGGTATTTGGCCTACTCTGCTGGTCAGACGTCTTGGAAGAGGTGAGAGTGCCCACACTTTACCCCACCATACATGACTTGTCAATCGACTAACTGTGCTTTGACGTATAATTCGGATGAATGGTAAATCGTAGTTTTCCACGCACACAATTCGATGCACATATTGTAAGCATCGGAATCAATTGTAACTGATGAACCGATGCATCAACATATTGTGTGTGCTTATCTTTTGTTATTTTACAATTGAACAACCAGAAAATATAAATGGTTAAGGCGCTACAAAAGCTGTGATTACTGCACAAGCTATGATTACAGAAGGATTATGGTTAAAATCGAATTGTACTGCATTTTTAAAATACAATTACAGATATTCAAAGCGACATTACCAGTGTGTGCATGTTGTGTCATTATCGTCAGTCGTTCGAATTGTTATGAGGATGTATTATTTCTTGAAATCATAATCAGTGTGGCAGATGCTTCCAATGAAAAGAGACAAGAAAAACATTTCCTTGGAAAAAACATGAATTTCATTAACAATATAAGCAAGAAGAGTCCCTTACTAAAATAATAGATCTGGCATCAGTAGTAATATTCAAAGTGGTTATAAAAGAGTGAAGGTGCAGTTCTGAAATTGCTTGCTCATGCCACGCTGATGGAAGGGCCTCCAACGAGAGGGAACTCTACAGAGACCACCTAAACGGGTATTTGGCCTACTTTTCCACGCTGGTCAGACGTGTTGTTTAGAGCTGGGAGTACCCACGCTCTACCTTACTGCGCGCTATCTGCCAATCGACTTGCTCGTGCCACTGCCAGTCGAAGGGGCTTCCACTCTAGAGGGAGACGGCCTAGACAGCCTCACCTCCCAATGGGCCTCCTCTTCCACACTGGCCAAACGTCTCGGAAGGGGAGGGATAAGCCACACTTTACCCTAGCGCACGTGACCGCCGAACGACTAACTGGAATCCATTTATTCATAATCAACGTTTTTGGGTTTAGATCGCGTTATTTATAAATGTGTCGTAACCCTCCACCACCCGACACGGCCAATCAGTAAAAAAGTGTCACGTTGACAAAAGACAAATAGTTCACTGCTTTAGCCCACCGGTGTGTTGAATCGTGAAACCACAAATTGTAAATGGCCGTGTCGGGTGGTGGAGGGTTATGACACATTTATAAATAACGCGATCTAAACCCAAAAACGTTGATTATGAATAATATTGGTCGCGAAAGCCTACGTGTTAAACTGGAATCAATTTACACTGCAGGGTGGACCGAGGCATTCCGGAGGTGGGGGATTTAAGAATCGGTGCCGTTGTTCCAACTGCGGCGCCAGAAGATCAAAGTTATGACCGCTAGGTTGCAAGTCCAGTGGGGTAAACCATTACACATCACGGCGGCTTTCCAAATTGGTGGCACGATTTTAAAACGTCACTGATCTCTACAAAGTTCCAGTCGCAGTGGCCTCTTGCGCAGGAATTGGTGATGTCATTGCAGAAAGTTGAAATGTGCGTTTGGCGCATCGAATGTGCCAAGAGATGTGGGCAGGTGGCAAATTTGTGGTGTTTTTCTCACTCAATTAGCGATGCCTGTTGTGTGCGATCGGCAGTGACGGAACCCATAAACGTTTTAATTGCACGCGTTTCTGATCGCAGTTATAGTTTAGCGAATCACGTTCCTCTTGATGTAATGCCACACTGCCTTGGAGATCACTGGTCCATTGAGTGCAAGTTCTGTCAACAAGTCTGTGCAGAGACTGCACAAGTGGAGCCCAGCTGAGCATTGTAGCAAGAGTGAACAACTAAATGCAGAGCAGAACCAACATTCGTTAACATATTTTTAAAAAAAATTACGGAAGCAAGTCGCTTGTTTGTGGTTAGTTGTAAGCGGCAAACGAAGATTGCCTGGAGGATCAAATTAGTGAAACAGATGATGTTCCACGATACATCATGAATGAACTCATAACGTCATTGATAGTGCATGGAAAGTTTGGGAAAAGTTCTAAATTAAATAGAGTGTAAGTTGTCTGTAACCACAAATGTGGGGACATATAAACAGAGATGAGAGACTGAAGATCATAGGACTTTGCAGCCAAATAAATAAACAATATTGCGGATGCATGCACCGTTTGTGTGTATCTTGGGCTCTCTGGCACGATGCTCAAGCATTATTTGTAATAAAAAAAATTACTTTAAAGTTACTTTCAAGTGCTCGCCCCCACCCACTGGTTATCCCTGTGGGTGTATTAATCGAAAACACGAGGCCGTTTTTTTAAGTGTAGACCATGTGTCCCGGTGTCACGGTCCAAATTTACCAAGTTTAACACGTAGGCTTTCGCGACCAATATCATCCATAGGAGTTTTTTTTGGGGGTTAGATCGCGTTATTTACACGATCTAACCCCAACGCGTACTAACCCAAAAAAACAATATTACGGACAAATTTACCAAATTTGAAAATGACCCGCAAATTAAGTAATTTGACCGAACCGCATTGAAAAATCACCTCCTACTGGCAGCCTATGCCCATCAGGGAAACATACGGCCTTCGTGATAGCACATCGCTATAAAAATGACGCTAAAAACAATCGTTTTTAACGTGATTACTTTAGCGAGGTCAATGCATTGACATTTTGAAACGTATGGCCGCGATGTCACAGTTTATGTCACAGTGGAGGTGGCTGGGTGGCTGAGATCCGAATTCTGAGATGGCACTGTTAAGATTCTGGGTTTGAATCCAGTGAGTGAGTTCATGCCCTCAGCCTGGTCACCAATGAATGCACGCGAAAACAAAATATTGGTCAAGTAACATTTTCTTCTGCATTCACTTCATTCTGCTACATTTCATGTCTGAGAATTAAAAATATCAGTCTGACTCATCGTAGGAGCAGAATGGGGTGGGAAAGTGATGCCCTCCCCCATGCGGATCAGAGGTCACTTGAAGCGATCTCAGGGGGAGCTTTGTGATACCTGCTTTTGTGTTTCCATTACAGACGCTGATATCACTGCCTTATTGAGGGATCCAAATTGATGTTTTGTCTTGTTATACGACACCGATAGCACAATCGGGATTAGATCAGGAAATAATAAATTTTTTAAAAGCACAATAATGTAGTTTTTTAACGGTTTTACTTAACTTGACTCCTGTTTGTCGTGGTCAAATCTTGTAATCAAAAGTTAGTCTACTTCAGGTTGTCCAATCAATTCCACATTTTGCACACGTACTCAGATCCGGTGACAATGCATGCCTGTATTAAAATCGGCATCCATCAATCAATTAATTCGTTACTTTAAAGCAATTTACATTTTGTATGGACGCCTTATTATTTATATATATATTTGTTTAGGTAAAAAACGCAGCGGTCCCTAAACTCTCGAATCGCCTGCTCCGTGTGAACAAGTTACGGAAGCGATCAATTAATTCAAGTAAGCAATGATGTGGGGGGAGCAGGCGCCGCATCATCGACGTACTTCACGACCGTGAGTTAAAGAAGTTGTTAATAAAACCTTTGTTTTTAAAAAACTATTTTTAAGGAGTTTATTTGTCCTCATTAACAAAGCACCCCAACGGGTGTTGGACATCCAAACACACTCACCATAGCTACGTATCTACAAGAACAAAACATATTTGTTGGGAGTGTGCATTTCCCTTTTAAAAAAAATCTTCATGAGAGGAAGCGTTGAATTAAATTACGCGTAACGGAGCACCCACTGATATCTCCATTTGTGCACTTCATGTACATGGCTCGTAGTCGCTAACCGGTCCGCACGATAACACAGCAGCTGGTTTTGGAACACGCACAGAGACACCGCAGTACAGCACGAATTTGGATGACTATGTAACTAAATCGACAAGCAGAGAGTGCGCAAGCAACTATCGAATATTGATTGCTATTGAAAGCACATCAACGGTAATCAACTTGCTATATGTGCAAGCATATAGTGATTCAATGTCCTGTGCTTGAATGCCAATAGGTCTATTCTTTTTTCCCCCCCGAAAGCCTTAGATAATTGACGCCAACACATTGCATGAACGATGCAGATTGGCTTTCCCTTTGCCATCCGTGCCGAATGCGCTGCGAGACATCATCACAGCATCCCGTTAACTAATCGGATTCATTAAGATGCAAAGCGCACGGGCACACTTGAAACACAAAAAAGACACTACGAGCACGACAAAAAAAATAGTTAATTAATTACCAGCGATTAACCAAATTGCGTACGGGGGCGGCTGGCTGATTAACTCACAGCTGAGGTTGGGATTTTGATCAATAAGCACAGCTCACATTCAAACACCGCATGACGCCGGGCTGCACACCGAGCCTGACGCAGAGGCTCTCTGGCTCAATAATTACGAGAGGCGTGGGATTACGGCAAGCGGCTGTTCCCGGCGTCGCGTGAATATCACGGCGACGGCATCGTGCCCGTTGCCGTAATCTGCCGCGAGGTTTTTGCCGAAGCTTCCGTCTAGCTGCACGGGGGAGGGAGGCAAAAAATCACGCCCGGCTTTGCGGTCCGCAAAATCACGCCCGAATGTGGAAGAGGCACTGAGCAAAGGCGTCGTTTAGCGTAATGGTGCGCCGTACAGCACGTGACTCAGGATGGCGCGGGGTAAATTGAGAGAAATGCTCGGATGTCCGCGGATAATGGCCATGCAATTACACGTGTGTGAGTTACAGTAAAATAAAAAATGAGGGGGGGAAAAAACGTGCATGGAGATCACTCTTCGATGAGGCTTTTTAATGGGCAACTTGATGGCCGGGAAATGGAATTTTCTTCGCGGTGACTATGGGCGGAGTGATGTGTGAAATCTAGAATGCGCATCACTCGAATGCTTATGTACAGATGGCAAGTGCAACGGGGTCACTTACCATTCTCCAGAAGTGTGGCTTAACATGTTAAGAAAGCGTGAGTCAAGAACAATGTACTGTTAGTATGCATGCTTGGAAAATAAGTGTTAAAATCATAAGCCATTGTTAAACATTACCATTCTGCAGTCAGAGGCTTCTGTGCACCTTTTCCAGACATAGCGAAATATACCTACATTGAAGTTACTCAGATGCACTCTGAACATATCGGTTTAAAGTGTGCGGCATTACCGCACACAATAAAAAAAACACGTTTCACAGAGATGCCACCGTGGAATACAATTAAAGCGACCGCTCGCTAACGCTCGCACTCTTGTTTTGCAAGATAGCCATAAAACACAAATGGTGACATCACACATGTTTTGCTGCACAGCGAAATGAACGGTGCACAGATGCGCACTTTATTCTGCTTTGCACAGCAGTCAACGCCATTACAAAAAACAATCCATTGGCATTGTTATTTTTTTAATTAAATTCACAAAGCATTATAGCGCAATGCTTAGAGATGGACCGCTGCTCCAAAAGGTCCCAGCAAATACAAATTAAATAAATACAAGATAAACCCACTATCAACGTGAACTGACAATTTAAACCAAGATGTTTGTTGTTGCTACATGCTTTGAAAGGCCACTGCCCGAAACGTCGCCTATTAAAAATTTACCTTATTAAGGGCAAGCACACATTATTTGCTTGACGAATGCATTTGAAGCAACATCATTTTGCTCTGTTTGTTACTTGTGCCTGTGCACCACAATTACCAATGCAGCATCAAGAGCGAAATCAACCGAATAATTTGCTAAAATCAGGAGGGGCTGCGCTGCTTGGCGCCACCGCAATGGGGTTAGCAGGAGGGCAACGCGATCGACCTGGCACCGAAATCGGCCACCAGCGCCAGCACGGTATAGGCATCGCCACTGGGGAGACAAAGGCGACCGAGCGTGGTTGCTGACCCACCCACCCCCCTGCCTCGCGTGCCACAGTGCCGGCCTTCGCAGGTGCTGCTCGCTAAAAGCACTCGCCCCCAACAGTCGGCTGCAGATTTCGATTTAAAGCTTTCGTGACTGCAGGGATTCATCTTCTTGGTTCTTTCGGTAAAGTCACGTAGAAGGGAAGTAATAAAATAATAAAAATAAAACATAATAAAATAATTATCACGACGTTTCGGCCACAACGCAAGCAGCCGTCCTCAGGTGAAGACCAGGTCTGTCTCCCCGTGGCCGAAACGTCGTGAAAATTATTTTATTATGTTTTATTTTTATTATTTTATTACTTCCCTTCTACGTGACTTTACCGAAAGAACCAAGAAGATGAAGTCTTCTTTGGTTCTTTCGGTTAAGTCACGTCTAAACATAAAATAATAAATTAAATAATTATTTTATCTTTAGACGTGACTTAACCGAAAGAAAATAATAAAATAATTCTTTTATCTTTAGACGTGACTTAACCGAAAGAACCAAATAATAATTCCTGCAGTCACGAAAGCTCCAAAATTAAGGAGGATGAAATCTTCTGCAGGCTACGCACGCGAGAGGGGTGGCTTTGCATTTGTGCGCGTGCATGCGTGCGCGCGTGTGGGTGTGTGCGTGCGCGTGTGTGCGTGCGCGTGCGTGTATGTGCGCGCGTGCGCGTGCGTGCGTGTGTGTGTGCGTGCGCGTGCGTGCGTGTGTGCGTGCGCGTGCGTGTGCGCGCGCGTGTGTGCGCGCGTGTGCGTGTGTGCGCGTGCGTGCGCGTGTGTGCGCGTGCGTGCGTGTGTGCGTGCGCGTGCGTGCGTGCGCGCGCGTGTGTGCGTGCGTGCGCGCGCGTGCGTGCGCGTGCGTGCCACTCACGGTCTATGGGGATGTCGATGGAGCCTGACGTCACCCAGAGGGTCGCGAGGAGGGCCGCCCCCGCCAGCAACGAGCGGCGTCGCCCTGGCAACATGGCCCCTTCGGCTGGTGGTGCAGAAAACTGCGGATCGAGTGCTCGCGGGCTGCTGAAAGGGGAATAGGTCCTCTCCTCCTCCGCTCTCGCTCCCTCTCTCTCTCTTCTCTCTCTCGCTCGCTCTCACCGCTGCTCCCTTTCTTCACGCGACGGCAATAATAACAACAACAACAAAGGCGCGGCCGTGGCACTCCCCGAGTCGATCTCGCCGGCAGGCTCCACCGCCCCACGCCACTGTCCACGTTCACCGCGGGTGATGTCGATGGACCACCGCTGCCGCTGCTGCTGCCGCTGTAAGGAAGGGAGTGGTGGTGGTGGTGGGGTGGGTGGGGGGGGAGGTGGAAATCCGATGGAGTTAGAAAAAAAAACAAATGGAAATAAAATACAATAAAAGGCTGCCCGCCATCAATAATGCATGATCGAAAAAAATGGAGCCAGTGTCTTCCTCCCGGAATTGCATCGATCGCGCGCCAATTGTCTCGCGGACGACGCGACGAGACGCGATGCATCGAACATCGAAGCGACGGCGAACAAGACGAGATACTCTTTGCAACGAGACAATATTTTACATGTATTTTAGTTTTTAGCTGTGCGCCGCCGCGGCTCTTACGAACGTGAAGCTCCGGCGCGCGACGCGTCTGCAGGCGAAAGAACGGAGCGCTAAAGACGGCGTGAGCTCACCTCGTGGGGGAGAGCAGATTGCACTAAGGCTGTCGCCACCGGCTCCCCTAGGGGAACCGTGGGGGGGGGGTGGTGGTAGTGGTGGAAGGAGACGAGTGGTGGGGGGGGAGGTGTGTGCGCGATTCTGCCGCTGCTGCTGCTGCAAGGCAGCATCGCAAAATTGCAAATGCGTTTCCATTCCCATAGCACTGCATTCGTGGAACGACATCATTATCAAGCAATCTCCGCAGCCGGGAGAAACGACAGAGATAATCGACAGCTGACCCCTTAAGTCAAACAAAAAAAATACATTTTAAAATCTACATGAAGGTCCATCATTAATTGCGCAAGATAAACCCGGCGTGACTTCAATTAAGCCAGAGACCAACGATTGTTATTCTGACTCGTCGTATTTTGTGACTGGGTATCTAGCTACATTGTAAAATAATATGGAATGCCTCTGGGAAGACGTCCACCATAGAGATTGGGCGATGAAATCAGCTCGCGTTGCAGGTGCAAGCTGGATTATAATACCATCGCAGGAGCATGAAAGACTGCTGCTGCTGCTGCTGCTGCTTGGGACGATCTCATCCAGCAATGAATTAACCACGGCTGCTAATGATGCCGATGATGCTATAACAACAATTAAATCTGACGCCGCAAGTTGGGATTCCTGGCCACAGCTAAAATCGGTGACGAATGAGATCTGATCCATTATCTCAGCCCCTCCTTCACCCAAACCCGTCCTGGCGCGGTGAAATATGGTGGAACAACCCCCCTTTGAGCAAAGGGCACGAAGGAGAGCTTTCATCCCACAGTGGATTGGAGAAGGACTGTGAATTATTACTGCCATGTGACAGGCACACGGAGGAACACCTTCCATCGTTATTTTGTTTCAAGGCAAGCCAGCCTATGGCATGCTGACTCAGATGCGAGGCCCAGCCCTGCAGCTCGAAGATGCAGGGGACATCCCTTAATCACTTGCCGATGACGCACGCGAGGACGAGCGTTTCCGTGCTGCCTAGGCAAGGATGCTACAATGTCAATTACCAAAGGCAGGAACGATCGGAGGAAAAACCAGGCACGCTCAACGACCAACCGGTGAACGGAATCACCGCCACTTTCATCGATCCACTGCTGGATGAGAGCCTCCCCAGGCTGTGTGCATTCTTGGGGGTTATGTTTTTTAACCGTATTTCACCTTGCTGGCCCATGGGCGCTGACGAAGGTAGGAGGGAATACACGTGGGGAGGGCGTGGAAGTAGAATACAACAAAGGATATGGCTGCAGAGCCCTCTCTGCTGCCCACCACGTAACCGCACAGCCTGTAATGCCTGCTATGCATGGCCATCACCGGTCAGAGCGCCAACCAGGCTGAAAGCTGCTTATCTTCAGATATCTCACGAGATTGTCCGTGTTCCTTGGAATTTGGTCGTAGGCGTCCCATTTCACCAAACGTCCGTGCCATTTGCTGCACAGCCATGGAGTCATAAAAATAATTCATCCCAAGACCGTTCCTTCTCATCGTAATGGCTCCCAAACCGTCTCGAATAATAGAAATAACAAAGCAGCCAAGATAAACCCAAGAGAGATTAATTATGCACGACGCTCACCAATTTCCCAATACGCCTGCACGACGACGGCCGTCATCCGTTTATCGACGCAGAGACAATTCCACGGCTTCGAACGCAATCTACCGCGCCACGAAAACGGCGCATTCGAGGCTACAAGCGAGCCCCGGTCTGCCGAATCCGCGCGCGCGTACGCCGCAGCCAACCAAGGCGAACAAGCGCGGCATCTTGAAATGAAGCCCATGCATCTGCAGAAATTACCGTCAGACCGCCGCCCGTGGCATTGGCTCACGGGCGCTCTCTCCGACAGCGAACGCACGCCCGCCCGCTGAGGCGGGAGGAGGCGGCCCCCGCTCGCTACGCCGAAACTCGGGCTCACTCCGCCCTCCGCAATTAGGGGCTTCTGGCATTCGGCCAGATGATGGCACCTCGTTTGATTAAATGTGCCACTTGCAAATTAGGATAACAACGAGGGTCACCCCTCTCCCGCCCCCCTACACCACCACCCCCAACCCCTCGACTGAGTTAGTTTTTTTAATTAACATTACAAAGGCAATATGTATTAAGTGATGTCGATGACCGCTGCGGAGGTTGATTTACTTTGATTTAAGCGACTGTGCACGCAATGAGCTTCGTCATCGTCGTCGTCATTAATGAAATGAATTTGGCAAAAAAAGTCCCGCGATTAATTTTTGCTGCAGCAGGCTTCGTGCAAAATTTGACACTTTTACGTTTTGCAGTTACATCTGGGATCCTTGCGTGGACGTATAACATTTTAAATTAGCAAGTTGTTCACGTCTACAGAGAACTGAACTCTTGTAAAAGCGTACAGATGTGATCTTCATGTTCACCACCACCACCACAGCATGGTTGTGAAGACAATGCAGGGGATAATATTAATTTAGAGTCAATTCCACATATCCTAACACTGTTTAAATGAAAACGGTGCAGAATATAAACTTGTCCGCTTCAGTCCAGCAGGCCGAAATGTTACTGAGTGTTTGATGAACGTGAAAATGAGTCTTGGATTCACAAGCATTTCACATATTTTACAATAGAGCCACTGCGTAATTGATTGTTTGGAAAAATATTGACAGATATCTTTCCTATGTGCTTTCGAGCCGTACTGCGCACTATTTGGCAACGATGTTCGACGTTTTGCTGTGTGCTGGGAGCTTCTTCAAGAACTAATTCAGCATGTAGAGTGCAATGTCAATCATCATGCCGAAGAGCAGAGTACAACTCTAAAACACATCGGTAAGTTTTCCAGCAATACCGCAAAAAAATCTATGCAGCAGTATTGTCGGGCGTGTCTCTTGGTTTACTAAAAAAAGGACCATTACATTGAACAAGGCAGCTTAAATTTACAGTTTCGCATCAATAATAGAGATGTGATATCTGTATTTACTTCATGATTACCATACACATTTCGCCACGATTGCAACTGTAGATTATGCCTTAGGCGCGCGATGGTCTGATGAAATGTGTCTGTTAAACAACCGACGTTATGCATTCGGTTTTGTCAAAACTTATATTTATTTTTTTAACTCAGCAATTGTGCCCGCCAAACACAAATCTCCATCAGAGCTCATGCATAATTAAGGACCTGCTATGCGTTTGTAAGGTTAAAGATTTTTGGCGTTTCCGCATATGGTGGCCTAGATTTTAAGCCAGTTAGTGTGGCCAGCCTCGTATTAATTTTTAACGCGCCACTGGTGTTTAGCATCTGGGTAGGGGCCTGAGCTTGGGGCCTTTAATATTAATGACCCCTCTCCACTGCTGGGCGCAGCACTCATGGGCGGGTACCCACAAAGTGCCACCACCTCCGTGAGCTGCAGCGCACCCGGACATCTTTTGTATTGAGTGGCTTTGCACCCATCATAGCAGCTGTCCAAGGGACGCTGTCAGCTACATCCGTCAGTCGCACTCCGCTTCACCGTGGTCTGTGGCGAATATCTATCCAATTTGCTGAAAAGCAACGAAATAAAAGAAATAAATCAGTAATCTTCAGACCATCTTATTTCTAATCAAGAAATGTTAAGATGCCCAATGAGGATGGCTACCAGATGGAGATTGCGACTGGATCTCTGAATGGTTTTTCACAACAAAAATAAAACACTCGGTGCACATTTGCTCCCTGACCTCATCTAAACCGAGCCGAGTGAGCTGCAAGCTCTGTTTTACAAATGCCGCTACTGCAGCCGAGTAAATGTGGGAGAATGGGGATCTATCCAGCAGCATATCCACAACACTGCTATCAGCTTGGCAGAGTGCATGGAACAAAGAATATGAAACTTTATAACGACTGGATCAAATTTAACTTTTCTAAATGCCATGCTCTCCAGGAACAGTGGAACAAAACTATGACTAAACGCCATGTTAAATTTCGATTTAAAGCTTGGGGGAATATTATATTATTTTATTATGTTTTATTTTTATTATTTTATTACTTCCCTTCTACGTGACTTTACCGAAAAAACCAAGAAGATAAACGCCATGTGTCATCGTGAATCTTAGCGCAAGACAAGTCCCTTGTCAAGCAAGCCACAGTTTTATGCGCGTGTTTCTTGAAGTGAAACTGGAACAGATACTTCCACAAGCGAACTGTGGATCTTAGTCACAAGGGTGGAAGCAAATTCATGTAAAAAAATATATTAAAAAAACAAGCCCGACAAAACCTGGCCATTAACTGAGCCTCACTTTCGTTCGGGGATTCAACAGTACGAAATAGGTGTGCGGACGGGAACACGGAAGCGTACACGCGTCTGGTTGAACACATTGTGTGATCGTGCCAACACCCACACGATGCATGCGTTCGAATATACAGGATGAGCCTGATCGCAATGGAACAATGAACAACGTAAAAAGGTGTTTTTGTTTGAAGGCAATTCTTTTTTTTCACGATTCGCAAATGTTGCCCGCAAACTACGTGATACGTCTCGTATGCGTCGGTTTTGGGGGGTTTTGTGGTTGAAAATGAATAAATGAGAAACTTCGTGGATGATTAGACATGTGGATGGATGGACGTATGCATTGACACATGGCAATCAACACTTTGTT